ACATCCGATTGGGCTTGTTGTTCATATGAACACTTGTTGGATATATTTTATTAAGCATTTATATCGAAATAATTTGGAAAATACATATGTGAATTTTGTCGCTGGTTGTTTGCAACAGAAACACAGCCGAACAATAAGTGTTGGTGGTTTTTTCTCTTTTGTTAAAAAGAGAGGGAAGAAAAATGAGCGCAAATAGTGGTAAAGGTAGAACGAAGTAGAAAAATAGTTGTGATGTTAATGAAATGTTTAAATTTTTTGAACAAAAATAGTGGCTCACAATAATAAGATAACATTAACTTTGAATAAAATTATGAAAATATTCATTAAAATCTGTTTCTGTGCAGGCTTTCAATTCACACACAATATGCCAACAATGGCTAATTAAAAAGAAACAAACCGGAGGATGTATTGGGTTATGCCGGTACTGACCCAAAACTCCACCGTCCTCTTTCAGGGCAATCTTCCACCCAAAACTTGAAAACATTTTTAGGAGATTATTGCTTACTTTCAGAAGATGTGTACGAATTGTAATTAAAAAGATCAACCGGAGAATGTGCTGGCTAACAGGCTTCATGTAGCACCCATATATAAGTTCCGCACCCTTCTAAGTATCTTCATGGTCCTGGTACCTTTTCTTGCTGAAAAAATGTTATTCGCCGTAATTTTGCAATACAGGATGAAGTCATCCCATTACGAAGATTTCCATCCTATTACGATGCGGAATTTGTTTCGCTGAGTAACAAAACGAATAACAAACTTATTATCCCCTACAACCCTTGGCGAAGGGTATGAAAATAATTAAAACGTAATTTTATATGACGGCACCATTAAAGAGTGTGATATAATTGCGGAAAGTTTTATTTTTTTAACATTACAGAAAAAAGTGTGGGAACATTAGCAAAATTTACGGAATGTGTGTAATAAACGTATGGGGAGAAAAAAAAACAAATTAAATTTGTGATACATTTTTGGTTAAAAGTCAAAAAACTTTATTTGAATTGTTAGGTTCTGATACAAATCTTGGTTATCGAATAAAGTTAAAAACATAACATAATATAGAGTATATAACATAAATGTTAAAATTAATACCACTTAACAATATTTTTGAAACAAATCAAACCCAAAACTTTAAATATCTCAATATAAGAAAAAAAGACTTAAAACACTTTCAAAATAAACGACTCATTTTGGAATGTAAAACAAAATTTTCCATTTGATTGCCTATAATTTAGTTTAAAATATTCCAAATTATTTGCTTCTTAATTTTTCGACTTATTTGAATAACAAATTAAAAAAAAATCAAAATATTTGTTAAGATAATATTAGCCAATTTAAATATCATTCTTTCTATTTTCCATAAAATACCAAAACGTAATCCATGGACATGAGATTTTTCCACTTCAGTGTTATTTGTTGTTATGGATCATTAAAGAGTTGTTGTTTTTAAAAATGCTAATCATTTTTTGTTGTTTTATGCAAATAATATGCCGATGCACTTTATCAGCAGTGGTCGTTCGTAATGATGATGATGCGACTACCACACCGCCACCACACAGCAATGTGGTCGTCCCGTCAGCAGCAGCACCCTAATAATCTTCATTATGGAAATCATCCATCGAATGAGGGTGTCCGGCACATTGATGTTGTTGTTATTGAGTCACTGAGTCTAGGCTGTCAATTGATGGATAAATAAGTTGAAATAATTATACAGACTGTTTGTAATTCTAATAACAATTCTAATTCAGTTATTTGCTCAATATGAATAGTGTTTTTATTGGTCATTGTGGTCATACCGGTAGACTGTGCCAGTCATAATTTAGAGATGCAGTAGACAGGCCAATAATTACACTGTGTTACAAAATAAGTAAAAGTTGTCAATTGATGTTGCCGAGAGATAGATACCCAAAGGTATGGCGGAGGTCTACGGAATTATCTAATAGTTTCAGATTTAAGGGAACCCCCCCCATTCTCCATTTTTTATTTTTAAGATTTTAAATGGGCTGGTAAATGAATACCAATGCTTGTTAAGGTATGTAACTTTGCACATATATATTTGAAGATTTAAAGGGGAAGAAAAATAATTTACAAAAAAATTTTGTTGTTGTTTTGTTGTTGTTTTTTGTGATCAAAGAAAAGTCCTTATTTTTGATGGCGGGCATGATAACTCCTCACTGAAACATCGGAATCCGAAAATTCCAACGGTGTTAGAAAGAGTACATGTCTGGCTCTCGTATGAACTAGGATTATTGACTTCGCTCTAAAATTAACAAAATGGCGGACCTTTGAAAAAATATTTTTGGAAAATCGCCGATTTTTTACCAAAAACCAAGTTAAAAAATAAGGAAGATCTTCACCGATTGGCTTTATCCTAGTTCATACGATAGCTATACACTCACAGAGAAACGTGTAAAAATTTGAAATCGATTGGGTTATTCGTTTTTGAGTTATCCTGCCCGCCATTCGCAAAAAAATGTTTAGAGAAAACGCGTTTAAAGTTTGAGAAGCCCTTCAGCCGTCACTTGATATTGACACAATAAATCGGCTATATCTTCAAGAGTTCTTGAGATTTTTACTTGAAATTTTGCAGGGACATTCTTGAATTAGTGTAGATTGGAATTAAGTCAACAAAAATTTTGACCCCGAGAATGGGGGGGGTCCCCTTAATGTTGATCAAATCGGTTATTCAATTCCATAAAATTTACAAGTATTTGGATGAGGACTTGATCTAGGCTTTGTAAACATTATTAAATAAGCCTAATATGGGATTTTGAAGCAATCCACTATTTTTAAACAAATCAAGATTACAACGAATTGATGTAAACTTAATTTACTTTATTTATTTAACTACATTTATATTTATGAATGCAACCCTAGTTTAAAATTATATAACTGCAACCCTGTACATTATTTTAAGAATCTTATCGATATTTTAAGAATATTATCGACAAAGGTGAACAAATTTTGCAATCCAGAAAAGGGCATGCAAGAGCGAAGAAAATACAAGAAGTCGCTCATTCCGCAATCTCCATTCAAACACGATCGTAGTACCCATTTGATAAGCATGCGCAGAGTAGGAATAAACAGACTAAAGCAGCTCATTCCACAATCTACATTCAAACACGATACATAGTATCAACCTGATAAGATTGTGCAGAGTAGTAATAAAGTCTGCATTTCAAAACCACCAAATCCTCGTTATTATTTATGAATCACTATAAATTGGGAAGGCCTATTACATTGGCGCCCAACGTGGAGCCCGTTCATTGACGCCCAACGAGAAGCCTGTTACATTGGCGCCCAACGAGGAGCTCGTCTCATTAACGCCCTAGGAGGGGCCTATTACGTTGGCGTACAACGTGGGCCATGTTACAATTTATACATACTGAAAATGTTGACCCTTTGTGGGGGAGGTACCCGAAGGAGTGGACCAATGGGTCCCATCTTCGCACTTCATCAAGGCTTGGTAATGATAATAGATTTTGCATGGTTTGGGTTAAATCCAACAATTCATTCCCGCCTAAAATCGGATTTATAAGTATTGAAAATTGAAATTGATAGACCCATTTGATGGTGACTGGAGATGAGAAATGGATCATATACGAAAACGATCGTGGTCAAAGAGCGGTGAATCACCTTAAACGGTGGCCAAACCAGGACTAACGACCAGGAAGGTTCTGCTATGCATTTGGTGAGACTGGAAGGGGATTATTTATTTTGAGTTCCTTCCATATGGCCAAATTCTGATCTCTACTGTCAACAACTGGACCGTTTGAAGATAGCAATTGAGCAGAAACTGCCAGAATTGGCCAACAGGAGAGGTGTTGTGTTCCACCAGGACAACGATAGTCCACACACATCTACAGTGACTCACCAGAAACTTCGGGAGCTTGGTTGAGAAGTTTTAATGCATCCGCCATACAGTCTGGCCTTGGCACAAGATTATCATTTTTTTAATGATAAAAAATTGGTATCTAGGGAGGATTGTGGAAATACTAGAGTTTTTGGCAATTAGAGAGTAGGACTTCTATGAGAAATGCATTATGAAATTACCTTTAAAATGGCAACAAATCATACAACAAAACATTCTGAAGCATGTTAAATAAAGTCCTATAGTTCACATAAAAAAATTGGATTTCTTTTTCCCCAGCCTAATATTAATAATTTTCAAGAAACCAGGCTCAGTTCTATCGTGATTTCAACAGACGGGCAGGCAGGGCTAAATCGACATAGAACTTTATTCTGATAAAGAATAGGGGTCTCCGACAAATATTTCGAAGTATTGCAAACAAAATGATAAATTTAATAAACATTTATCATGGAGTCCCAAAAATAATAGGCAATAATGATTTTAAATACTGTTACATGGTGGCCTCAAACACTGGGTCCCGATCGATAATAAAAAATAAATATAATTTTTATTTTTTTAAATACCTAAATTTTTTGTAACACTGTGTTGTGGTAGTAGTTGCTCAACTGCCTGGCATTACTAATCCCATTGCAAATTGTTTGTAAACGTCACACTAAGTGAAAAGGTGTAACCGTTGATAAAAACGCCGGCAGATTATAGTTATAATAATTCTAGAAACAAATTGTTTATTTATGATTTGTGTGTGTGTGTTTTTTGCCAACAACAAATAGTAATGTTTATATAATTTATTAATTTAACCCTCTTAATAAATTTAAAACGGCATTCATTCAAAAAGGGCGTTAATAGTTGTTAAACCTTTTATTGCCAAGAATTTACACTTGGTGTATTTTGTTGATTATCACAACAACAGCAGATAAGTTATTTGCAATAAAATTATTACATTTGTTTTATATGTATGTGTTTTAATTTTACATTTTGTATAATGTAAATATTTATTTTACAAAATTTGTGATTAATTTTTGTTGTTTTCTTTTTGTTCTCTTGTTTGAGTTGAATTTCATTGAACGACGTTGATGTTTTCAAGGAAAAAATTATTAATTTATTTTCGTTTTTGATTTATTTTGCAGACCCTGGACCATGCATACTTCCAGCGGTGATGATGAGGCCTCTAAGGATCCTCGTATAATAGGCGATCAAGATTTCAGTCAACAGTATACAGAAAATGATTTTGAAGGTAAGTGCCGAAAAAAAGACAATTTTACAGTCAATTAAATAATAAGAACCATACGGTCGGCTAAATTTATATAAATTAGGAATAAATGCAAACACATGTCTGAAATAGGCCTATAACACTGTATAAGAGATCTTTATATGGTGGAAATTTCATATTGGGTGAAAGCCCTTGGCGAGTATATTAAGTTTTGGAGTTATGACGGGATGATGTTTTTTTTTATATATATGAATCGTTTATTTTAAAAGTGGTGTATGTCGATATCAGACCAGAAACGGCCAGAATTGGCCAATAGGAGAGGTGTCGTGTTCCACCAGAAACTTCGGGAGCTTGGTTCGTTATTTTCTTGAAGCGTAAACTAATACCACAAGAAGAGATTTTTTGACCTACAAACATTATACAAAAATGTCGCTCATTTCTCGATCGATTTCCGATATAAACTACAAATAAAATTTAGATACAATTTAAAGTATTAAAGATTTTATTTTATAATTTTGTTAGCACATCTGCAAATCGCCAGGCTTAAAAAGTTTGTTACAACTCCGATACCTTCCTTATATTTTTGTGCGGGTTATTGCTTTTAAGACTTTATATTTTTGGTTTCTCATGATGCTGTTGAATAATTTTGTTAGAAGTTTTTTGTTCACAGTTCATTTTTCTCAAAACTTCAACATTAGAAACATGGGCTGTCCATTGAAATTTTTAGAACTTGACTATATGTCCACATTTCAAATGCTTCTAACTTTTTTATATCGGACGATTTTTTTTGTTTTCATTATCTAATTACACTAATAAATTTCGTATAAATTTCAGATTTGTCTGAAATAATTACCATAAATAAATCTCATTATGCCAAACATTTATTCATCGTTGAGAGAGACAGATGTGGTTTTCAAAATTTTAGAACCATATTCTAATACCGGTTTTCATCAAACGAAATAAAATTAAATGCACAACATTTGAAACCTAAAAAACTTGCTAATAACATCGAATAATTTGTATGCTTACAGTTAACATGATAAAACCGTTTATGGCACAACAGTTCTAGTGTTTTACTATCGCATCTGGCTCAACATTTATTCCATGTGATTAACAATATTTTTGAAATTTAAATGACATGCATATATGTTAGATTGGTTTATTAAAATCTATACAAAATCGGTTTTATTATCTTCAAATAAGGTTCAAAAATTTAGTGATCCGGATCTATCTCCCGCAAAAAATATTGAAGTGTTTGGCCAGATCTATTTATAGTAAATATTTCAGCTCGCAGTATGCAAGATAGTGTTTTAGAATCGGATATATCGGTCCACGTTTTGGTTCTAGATTCTATGGCACGATGATCCGTTCACGGCTGTTTGAAGCTTTGAGACACATTTCCAACCGAATTGTTGGACATATTTCCAATCGGAGACATTCTGCCTTATTCGTGATTAAGAAAACTTATTTTCCACATAGGTCTTCGTTTTGACATTACTTTTCGGTATATTAAGATTCCAACTAACTTAAGTGTTTGTAATTTGGTATTTTCTTTAAAAAATATCCCGACAGACTATTAACAAAATATCCCCCACATAATGGTGCCGATGGTTTTTAAGTATCACGGTGGGGGTGCATAGGGTTCGGCATGTTTGTCACAAGTCTCATAAAAATGGACTCCTGGATTTTCGATATGTTAAGGGTACGGTCAAATTTTACAACCTAAGCCTCTTTAATTCGGTATTCCTGGTATACAAGTTTCGGTCCGACGGATCTCATTGACGTTCTTACATCGTATTGTCGTTTTATACCCTCAGCCTTATGACTAATGAGGGTATATACACTTTGATAGGGCAAAAAATGAGCCTCGTCGAAATATTGGTTTTACCCCACATCTGTTTCAGAAAATTTGTAGTCGATTTACAAATGTCCATTTGGCCGCACAATAACTCTCGAAGGGAGTAACCGATATCATCCAAACATTGCACATCGTAATATTTCTACCAAACTGTGTTCAAGTTCGAAAAGGGGTAATATCAGTCCACTCCTGCTGATACCTCCCCTACAAAATGATCAAAATTTAGCTAAAATATATTTTATGATATGCTGGCAGACTATCCGATTTTAACCAAATTTTGTACAACCTAATATATCTTTACCAAACCTAAATCAAGTCCGACGATGGGGCCCATTGCTTCACACCTTCTGGTACCTCCCCCACAAAGGTTGAAATTTTTCAATATTTATAAATAAAATATCAGGTGAATGGAATGTCCGATTTCAACTAAACTTTAAATAAACTATTATATTTACAAAGCCTAGATCAAATAGGAAAATGGGATCCATTGGTCCATTCTTTCGGTTACCTCCTCCATAAAACGTCAAAATTTGTAATATCTATAAATCCAATTTCAGGCGAGAATGGAATGTACGATTTGAACCAAACCTTGCACAACCTATTATCTTTACCAAGCCTAGATCAAGACCAAGATGGGACCAATTGGTCCTCTTCTTCTGATGCCTCCCCCATAAATGGTCAAAATGTCCAATATTTATAAATCCAATATTAGGCGTTTCTATTCTCTTTACTTTTAAAATACCATTTCTGTATTTTGAAAGTTGGCCGCATTTTTAGCAGATGGGGTTGTAATCAGGCACTCCGCTTTTCAACATAGCCCCCATGGACAGGATCTGTTAAATTTAAGGCATTTTACTTGTATGACATTTTGTGTTGTTAGTGGGGAAATTTTCGGGGATTTCCAATAATGTCCACTTTTTGATATAGTCCCTATTTTGCATTTGGAAGAACTTAACTGAATTTTACAGTCGAATGATTTGCAATTTGGCATTACGGCTTTTTGGAGTATAAAAAATGTAAAAACTTCTTCGCAGAAAATTTTCAATGTGGGTCCATATTTTCTACATAAAGGTTCCGCACCATTTTCAGTCAACATTTTCTAACCTCACTGTCGACAATTTTCACCCAACCGATTCCACTTACTTTCAATGACCACCTCATGGTGAATAGTATAAAGAGTTCGGCCCAGCGGAACTTAATGACATTTTCACATTTTATGTATTTGTTCTTTTTTGATTACCAAAAATACCATGTTTCAGAATAATGCAAACACCCTCGACTCACAAAATAGCAACTGCGACCAACGACACACTTTTTTCGATCACTTAACTGTTAACAATTATGCGTGAATGATTTGTTTGCGTGGTGTTTTTCATTAACAAAATTTTATCCAAACAACCAACGACAAGAAAAAATATAATTAATTTCGTTGTTGGTGGGTCAGCCAGTTTGTTCTTATTTCGAAAAGCCTCGGAATTTTTTAATTGAAAAATAAATACTAGAGAAAACGTAAACATGTATTTAAATTTTCAATGTGTTTTCAAACAAAACAATTTAAAAATTTTGTAATTGAAATTTTTTTTTGGAAGAATATAAAGTTACTAGTAGTTTTAAAAAATAAAAACTCTTCCATGAAAATGTCAATCAAAATTATTGAAATTAATTACAAGTAATTAAAACCACAAAATTGTCTGTGGCATTTTGTCATTTGACAAAAAAACACACACACAAACACTAACTATGAGTGTGGGAAGAAATAATTTGCACTGTCATCATATTAAGAATATCATAATTTATGTGGGCTATTTAGGAGCAATAAAGAGTGTTAATGCTTTTAAGCTACTAGACATGGATATTTAATTGCAATTTATGTTAACTATTTATATTATAGTTAATTATAATATTAACATAACATAAAAATGTTGTAGCTAAACAAAAAATATATACATAATAAAATATTAGTAAAAATTGTATTTAATATATGTGAGGTGAAAATTACACCATATCAAAGAGCATTCGATTTTTTCCTTCCCTTCGATTTAGTTCGAAATTTAAGTGGGGTCCCATTATTATTACATGATTTTGTATTATTTTTTTTTTAATTGTCGGCTACATTTCCTTTTCATTTTGTTTGCTGGGTTATCACCTACTATCACCCAAAAACTAATCACAAGCTAAACATTGTATATAAATATATATATTTTTTATGATTGCTTTGAATTAGCTAACATTCATATTTATCTATGACAGCTGTGAAATTTAATAGCAAAACCAAATTGTTTACAGGCGCCAGGTTGTCTATGACGAAAATGGCAATTCTATTTAAACGTCATGCAAATTATCCAAATTAAATACAGAAATTTAAACTATTTTTAACACGATGATAATTAAAATATCAATTAATTGTTAGTAAATAATTAAATAATAATAAAAATCTTGAATTTCATATTAATAACACTTTAAAGGGGGAACAGTAAACAAAGGAAGTGATATAAATAGAAAAATAAATATGTATTTAACTTGTTTGTATTTTCTAATTATATTCTACATCATTGGGTGCTGCCAGGTATTATAAAGTTTAGCAGGGGTAATAATGCTTGGAACTATTTGGATTATACTGGATTAAACTGATAATGAATTAAGGGGATTTAACTGGATAATACTAAATTGGCTGTGGATTAATGTTTATGATTTATGATTATATTTTTTTTAAAATTTCAAATTTGTGATGAATATTAAAAAATTAAAAAACAAAATTGCAAGGTCAATTTCCAATTATAGAGAATAATACTAAAGGTTTTCGAATATGAGTTATTATTTTAGTATTAAATAAACAATGTCATATTTTGAGCTAAACGGTTTTATTTTTATTCGATAATGCTTGAAATAATTTAAATTTAAAAAATATTTTTAAAATATCAATTTTCTTTATTTTGCAGGACATCGAGCCCACTCTGTCTATGTAGGTGTACATGTACCCGGTGGACGTCGCCATTCGCAAAGAAGGCGCAAACATCATCATGGCAAAAGTGATAGCAGTGGTGATGAGAGACAACCGGAAGTTGAAAGGCCGGGTATGTAAGAACAACAACAACAACAACAACAACAAAAAAGAAATTCAACAAATTAAATATTACAAAACTACAATTAAGTAATAGAATTGGTCATTGACATGCAACGGCCAAAAAGCGATTAAAAAATAAAAATTCCACTTAGCAAAAACAAAAAAGAAAACAAATAGAAAAAGTTGTTAACCAATCCACCTTATCTTCCCACCATTACCATTACAGTCACCCCTCCCGCCCAACGGGTACAATTCATTTTGGGTGAGGATGCTGATGACGGTACCCACGTCTCACATCCCCTATTCTCGGAATACTTAACATTGGTTAAAGAAGGCGACGAAATCGAATGGAAAGAAACAGCCCGATGGATTAAATTCGAAGAAGATGTGGAAGAGGGCGGCAATCGTTGGTCCAAACCCCATGTGGCCACGCTGTCATTACATTCACTGTTCGAACTGAGAACCCTGCTGTTAAATGGATCTGTGATATTGGACATGGAAGCGAACAATTTGGATTTGATAGCCGATTTAGTTTGTGAGAATATGGTAAATGCCCGCACATTACCGGCCGGCTCAAGGGATAAAGTTAAGGATGCTCTGTTGAGACGTCATCGTCATCAGCATGAATATAATAAGAAGACAAAATTGCCGATTATACGTTCATTGGCTGATATCGGACGGAATCATTCATCATCGAAAAGTAAGTTTTGTTGTAGAAGTGAATGAAAACCAAACATACACTCATACATATATACATATGGATCATATTGAGATATTACAGAAAAAATGTAATTAATATATCATCTAATGATCATAGACATACATTTTTAAGGCACAAAGAGAGGAGTGATATGTCACTGAGATAAAAATGTAGAAATTGAATAACCCATCAATTGACAACATAAGTGAACGCAAATTTTGAATATGAATGCTTATGACAGCGTTTACACTACAAAATCCACTCAATCTCAAACGTCAATTCCATAGCGTAAACGTATATTATATTTGACGTTTACGTTATGGAATTGACATAAGAGATCGAGTGGATTTCGTAAATCTAAACGCTGATCTAAATTTCAGTAACATTTTTTTCTTAAAATGAGATAGATTTAGCTCTCATATATATCTCAGTATATAAACATCTCTCTCTTTGTGTCTTTTTTTTTCTCTCATTTCACCATTTACATTACATTTTAAAAGTATTTTTTTCATTTCTCTGTTCCAAATCATTGTATAAAGTAAATTATAGCGGGAGAGTGAGCAATGTTCTTGCTCTCACTAAACGATTTTTTGTGTTGTGTATTTTATATTGTCTCTCTCATCATTAACATTTCTATCTCATAATCTCGTATCCAAAGCAAAGAAAGTTTCTCAGAGTCCTCCTAACATGTTTTCACGTTTAATTCATGGATTTGTGGAAATTAGTAGACAACGTAACGTAAGACGTAGTCAGTAGCTATTTTGGTAATATAACGTTTACACTATGTAACAAAAAATTATTATAAGATTATGGGGAAATTATTGATAAAATCGGTAAGGAAAACATTAATACCCAACAGATGTATACCCTCAGCCTATGGTTTGAGGAGATTTTCGGAGTTACATACAGGCTTTATTATTCGTTTCATATACAAGTTTATATATTATTAAATCTAGGCTATGTAAAGATAATAGATTGTGCAAAGTTAAGTTTAAATCGGACATTCCATTTGCCTGATTTTGGATTTAGAAATATTGAAAATGTTGACCCTTTGTGGGGGATGTACCAGAAGTATTGGATCAATGGATCCCATTTTCGGTCTTTATGTAGGTTGGGTTAAGAAAATACGATGTACAAAGTTTGCTTCAAATTCGGCATTCCGTTCGCTTAGAAATATTGAAAATGTTGACCATTTGTGGGTAGGTACCAGAAGGAGTTAAGAAGTTAAAGATAATGGGTTGTACGTGTTATTATAAAATTAATTTTTTGCACACTTTTGACCATTTTGTGGGGGAGGTACCAGAAGGAGTGAACCAATATTCCCCATCTTCTAACTTGAACTAAGTTTGGTAGAAATATTACGATGTGCAAAGTTTGGATGAAATCGGTTACTCCCTTCGAGAGTTGTTTTGCGCACCAGACGGACATTTGTGAATCGACACCAAATTGTCTGAAACGGATTTGGTCCAAAAAAAACATGGGGTCTAATAACAATATTTCGATGAAGTACATTTTTGCCGTGTCAAAGCCATAAGGCTGAGGGTATACAAATAATATGTTGCAAATGGCCACCGGAAGTGCCATCTTACAGGCTCATATCCGAATCAAAAAGTTACAAGGTCTAAAACCACAAAATCGTGGTGATAAACTGTGATCGTCTCTTGTAAAGATAACTAGACCCAGATATTGTCGAGTTATCTTTAAGGCATTGAATTTTCCGAGGCTTGTTAACTTCCTAATAGGAACTGGATCTCTTCAGAATAATGATTTTCTTGAGCTCTAAACAAATGATTTTTATGCAAATAGGGCGTAATGGCATAGGGCTCTAAAAAGGCATAAAAACAAAACTCGGAAAAATTGTTCTTTGGGCTACAGTAGCAATATCCTCAGTTGTTCTTGTTTGAAAGTCCTGTACAAAATTATACCCTGTACAAAAGAGATGACATAATTTTCCGTCATATCTTTCAAAGAAATTCCCAAACACTATCCCTTTTTTATTGTTTTATATTTCCTCAAAGTCTACCGATTTTATATCTAAATCAAAATCTTTCAAATTTGTTACATAGTGTAATATTCGTATAGATATAGAGTTCTAATACTGGGTTTATTTAACACATCACAAATACTAATCCAATGTTAATATGTATAAGATTTACATGCCTCTACCAACTCATTGCATGTGAATGTGTCCTCAACAGGACTTGATGGCAGCAGTCCGCTATATGCATCGACATCAACGCCTTATTATGCCACTAGTAAGGATCAGCGAGGTTGTTACCTAGCTGTGCCCACAGGTAGAGCCACAATAATTTCAAATTACTTTTTTAGTTAATCTTCTCTAATATTAAGTGTAAATAATATTGTTGTTGCTTTCAGTTGAATTTGTTACTTTTGGCTAGAAATATTCCTAAACAAAAAACAGAACAGCAGCAGAATATTTAGATGCCAAGGCACCCAACCAAAACACCTGTAAAAATGTAAAATTTTTCATTTTATTAAAGGCACCCCTTGCAAAGCTAGAAAACCACCCTAGGGAATAGATAAACAGACATTATTTTTCCCACATAATTTCTAGAGGTGCAAATGTAGGCCATCATTCACCAACAACAGCAGCAGCACATTTCCCCTTTCCCTATTTCATAAACTACTTTTTTTCTATAAAATCACATCATCCTCTGCTTGTAAAAAATAAACAAAAGCAAAGCAAAGAAAACCACTAAATGTATTTATTTATAAAAAATGCTCCTCATATACTTCCTTCCTTCCTTAATTATTATTAACTTAATAGCTGAACTTGGTCACATTGGTGTAACCACTTGGTTTCATGCCGGCTCCTCACATTCTCCACATGGTTCACATGGATACTCGACAGCTAATAAACGTAAAGAAGGTTTTGTCGTAAAAAAATAGTGTGCTACAAAAAAAACAACAATTAATACTAGCAAACTAAAGAAAATGTGTTTAACTCTCTTCCTTCCTATTTCTCTACAAAAAATATTAACAAAATAACAACTCTTTGTCACTCTCTTTCAATAAGGATTTTTAAAGAGAGAGATTTATTTTCAACTTTTCTCAAATTCACATTCAAGTCTTGTGTGTTGTGCTACAAACGTTATCCTGTTATTAAAAACTTTTTTCGCTCTCTCCCTTTTTCTCTCTCTCCATGTTGTTGATATCAATGTGTGCTGAGTATAAAAATTCTCTTCACGTTATGTTTTGTTTTTCTCTTTAAAATGTCACTATGTGCAAAATTCCTTTGCATTTTTTTTATTTGTTTATTGTGTTTTGTTTTTTAATTTCCTAGAGATATGGGTCATTCCACTAACTAGTTAAAGATAATAATTAAAGCTGATATAAAATAAATTATATGTTAGATAATTTAAAAATGAATAATAATTAATTAATTAAAATTATACAAACTAAAATATTATGGAAAATTCAACAAGGGAGTAGCATTTACGAAGTTATCTATTTTATGACACGAAGTTATCTAGAGTACACAAGAAAGCATACGAAGTTATTTACTGGATTGTATATGACATACGAAGTTAGTACATGATATACGAAGTCATCTAATCAATAATAAATGGCATACAAAGTTATCTACTTTATAGTAAACAAAATACGAAGTCATTTATTTTATAGCAGACGACATACGAAGTCATATACTCAATATTAAACGACATACGAAGGTGTCTACTCCAAAATAGATAATATACGAACTCATATACTCAATAGCAGATGGCATACGAAGTCATTCACTCTCTTTTATAAGCCAAACGAGCTATTTTAAATGTCAGACGAAGTTATCTAGTGTACACTACTTAGCATTTAATAGTAGAAGTTCGATCATTTAAACAATAATAAATAGCATACGAAGTCATCTACTTTATAGTAAACCAAATACGAAGTTATATACTTAATAGTAGACGGCATACGAAGTCATTTACTCTATAATAGATGACAGACGAAGTCATATACTTAATAGTAAACGACACACGAAGTCATTTACGCTATTGTAGGTGACATACGAAGTAGTCTATTCCATAGTAGATAACATAAAAAGTACGAAATACGATACCAGACGGCATACGAAAATAGAGGACATACGTATTCTATAGTAGAAGACATACGCAGCCATCTACATACGAAGTAATCTACTACGACATACGAAGTCAACTAACCTATAGTGTATGAAACACGAAGTCGTATACTATATGATATATGATATACGAAGTCATTTTCTTTATGGTAGATAGCAAACGAAGTCCTGTACTCTATAGTACAGGGTGAGATAAAAAACTGCATCAAAGTTAAACACCACCATTTTTACATTTTTTGGTTTGCTGAGTCCTGTTGGAATGTCCAAGGTCTGCGGCCAAAATGTTTGCGTGCGCAAGGCTTTAATACAGCCTCCAGAATATTTTCGCGATTATATTCGGCATTTATTTTGATGCCACGGTCGATTAATACAAGCGGAGAGCGACCATCGGCTGACCTCTTTGAAGTTGGTTGCATCTTTTTTCATCTCACCCTGTATATGACATACGAGTCCATTTACTCTAAAATAAATGGCATAAGAAGTCTTCCACCAAAACATAGATCTAAATATTTTCCTCACGTGATATACACCCTTGTTGAAAGTTCTGACAAAATAGTATGCATACTATTGGCCACTTTGCCCTTTCTATCTACCTCTCTCACTTTCTTTCAATGCCACTCTTTCTCTCTCTTTCATTTTTTTGTCCTAACTAAATGAATCAATTCTAGTGGAAGAGCATCATAGCGCTTCATCGGCACCGGGTTTAATGGCAGCAACATCGCCCAGTTCCTTAACAACCACAAATGGTTCGAATGGAAATAAAAACGATGATAATACGATGGGTGGACGTTTTTTAACTGTGCCAAAAACCCAAAAGACCCATATTTTAGCAAATGGTAAAACAACGATATTACCAAACTGAATGAGATTTTGTTCATGTTATAGTTCGTTCAATGACAGTAGTAGTCCATGTAAATAATAATAATAATAATATTCCATATAGAATGATAATTTTTTAGGTTATGATTTTTACAAAAAAAGAGATTCTCTTCCGGAATTGGTTCCTTAAAAAGATTTTAGAGTGCATGAATGTTTTAATAATTTTAATAAATTAATTTTAATATTTCCTTTACTATGAGAATGTTTTCAATTAAACAGCAGACATATATTTCCCCTGAACACCAACTGTCAAAAAATACTAATTAACACTCTCATAATCACCACACTCGCATACACACTGATACATGTTTCACTAAATATCACACTCTTTACTCACGCATTCACAGCCAAACTCTCTTCACTCTCACACCGGCTTAAAGTAAATATGCACCACCAATTTTATTCACACACCCTAAAAGCATGCAATGATATTTTTTAATTTGTAGTGACTTTAATTTTTAATAATTTTTTATTTATTTTTTATTTAATTTTTTATGATTTCTACACAACTGTAATCTGCACCCTTTTGTTGTCTACCCACCTAATTTTTTTAAAACCCTCTTGCAATTTTTGGTGTTGTTCGGTAAATTTGTTTCGTAATTGTTGAATTTTGTAATTTTTATTGAAACAAAAAATTCAAAACTCTAAAGAAAAAGCTAAAAATATACGTAAAAATAATAAAATGCCCGTTATAACAGAGGATATGATCAAGAGTCCCAGCAGCCAGTCGATGCAACGGAACAGCAGTGGCAATGATCTCAGCGATCATCGTGCGAATATGAATTTCATGCGGAAAATCCCACCCGGTGCTGAGGCCAGTAATATTCTTGTGGGTGAGGTTGATTTTCTTGAGAAGCCATTGGCCGGTTTCATACGTTTGAAAGATGCCGCCATTATGGGTGATCTAACGGAAGTTCCAGTGCCCACAAGGTAAGCTCTATTCTATTAACATTATATTATAGCGAAGAGGGTCTCCTTTATTCTATAGAAGAAAGAAAATGTGTTCTATTCAATAAAATTTCATTTTATTTCCCCCCCTCCCTGCAGATTTATTTTCATTCTCTTGGGCCCACCTGGCAGTCAAAGTAATTTCCATGAAATTGGCCGTGCCATGGCCACCCTAATGTCCGATGAAATCTTCCATGAAGTTGCCTATCGTGCACGCAAACGTGATCATTTGTTGGCCGGTATTGATGAATTCTTGGACGCCGTGACAGTGCTGCCACCTGGTGAATGGGATCCAGCTATTCGCATTGAACCACCAGCAGCAGTACCATCACAAGAAATACGTAAACGCCCACCCGAAGCACCCAAAGAGGAAATCGACGAAGAAGAATTGGAAGCAAAACTACGTGAAGAATCTGGTCTATCGCGGACGGGTCGTCTATTCGGTGGCCTGGTCAATGACATTAAACGTAAAGCACCATTTTATGTATCCGACTTTACAGAGGCTTTCTCAATGCAGTGCATAGCCTCATGGATCTTTTTGTACTTTGCTTGCCTCTCGCCCATTATTACCTTTGGCGGTTTGTTGTCTCAGGCAACGGGTAAAAATATGGCTGCCATGGAATCTTTGGTTTCCGGTTTTGTTTGCGGTATCGGTTATGGCTTCTTTTCGGGACAACCTCTTACGATTTTGGGTTCGACGGGTCCTGTGCTGGTCTTCGAGACAATTGTCTATGAGTTTTGTCTGAAGCAGGGCTGGGATTATATGACATTCCGATTTTGGATTGGCACCTGGATTGCGGTCATCTTGTTGATATTGACAGCTGTTGATGCCAGTGCTTTGGTGTGCTATATTACCCGGTTCACTGAAGAGAATTTCGCCACACTTATAGCATTTATATTTATAATGAAGGTGAGAGGAAAAGGGAAATTTTAAAATGGCACACATAAAAATCTATCCGTTCTGTATCTTTTATAGGCTGTTGAAAACGTTTTGAAAATTGGCAAAACATATCCTGTACACAATGATATATATGATTGTGTTTGTACACCGCCAGTGGGTAGTAATGCCACCATTTTGGACTATGCCAAATATAGCAAAGATTATTGCTTGGTAAGTTCCTACTTGTTATGGCTCTATGAACTGAAATTAAAATTTGTCATTTCTATTTTAGGCCAACAACGGCACTCTAGTCGGCGTGGACTGTGAACAACCAGATACCTCAAATATATTCCTTATGTCTGTGTTATTGTTTATTGGCACCTTTATTATTTCGACCATCTTGAAAGACTTCAAGACAGCTCGATTCTTCCCCACGGTGGTGCGTCAATACGTCAGTGATTTCTCCGTCATCATTGCCATCTTCAGTATGTCGGCATTTGATTATTTCATGAAAATCGAAACACCCAAATTGGAGGTACCCCACGAGTTGAAACCCACCTTGCCTACACGCGATTGGATTATTCCCCCATTCACTGAAAATAATCCAGCATGGACGGCTGTAGCTGCTGTCATCCCAGCCCTCTTGGGTACAATTCTTATCTTTATGGATCAACAAATTACCGCTGTCATTATCAATCGTAAGGAGAATAAATTGCGTAAAGGTTGCGGTTATCATTTGGATTTGTTTGTATTGTCAATTTTGATACAAATTTGCAGTATTATGGGTTTGCCATGGTAAGTGGAACCGTACACATACATAAAAACTAATGACATTGATAGATTATTTTATTACTATGAGAGGAGGCACAAGAGCTAATTTCTAGTCTAAAATTATTTTTTTACTAAAGTAATTCTCAGAGACATCTAATATAGGCTATTAGAAGTGATCTCTTTTCTTATTTAAAGAAGATATATCTACCATCTATAGAAGAGGGGCATTTTCTATCAATAAAAGAGATATACCATTCTATTTTATTGAGCTGTCAAATCTTAGGTTCCTCCGATGACGGAGTCAAATCTTAGGTTCCTCCGATGACAGTACATCAACCGGTCATCTTCGTCGTATAGGATTCCTCCGTCTCGCAACTCCAACAAAGCTGCCGGGGGAGGTGTTCTACCAACCCTTTTTCCACAAACTAGCTCATTTTCAGGAAGTTGAGGGCATATTTCATTATGCAGGCATTGATTCGGCTGAAGTCGATTGCATTGTAGATGTTCGTATTGACCGGACGTCTATAAATTCCATTTCTATCCAGCGTTGGTCTCATTCCTACGCATGATACTTATGCCGATATGTCTGCCCATGCAGCAAAGGAGTAGGTGATGATGGGTCCAATCACTTGCATTCGAAAGCTTCTTGGATAGACAAATTTCATCTTTTTGCGACAGAAATCGAATATTTCATGCAAGATAATTCCAAGGTATTTCATCCTCCTATAAATTCATTTCCAAACTTTGTAGTTGGAATGTATTTTCGGAAGCTATTAGCAGTGGACTTTACCCTCGAAGAAAGTCCTGCTCGCATTCGAAAGCGTCTTTGATAGGCAAAGTTCATCTTTTTGCGACAGATCGAATCTTCCATGCAGAATGATTCCAAGGTATTTCATCCTGTCTGACACTCCGATGAATTAATTTCCAACCTTTATAGTTGCAATGTATTTTCGGAAGCTCTCCGCAGTGGATTTGGGTTTGCCTTTGAAAACCACCGATACACACTTTCCAAATTTGAGATTAAGCCTCCATTTGGTGAAACAGTAGTGTAGTGTTTCCATGTACACATTCAATAGTGCAACTACCACATCATCAGCATATGTTAACAGCAGTCCTCTTTCGGGTGGCCCTGGTATGTCGCATACGAACAGGTTGTACAGAATCGGTCCCAGTAGTGATTCCTGTGGCACCCATGCTTCGGTCGTTCGCTGTTCATACATCTTATTTTCTACTCTCACACGAACTACTCGATCCTTGAAAAAACTTGCCACCATGCGACTAGTTTGATGATCGAATCCGAGCGATTGCATCATGTAAAGAATGTCGTACTGCCAGACTGTGTCAAACGTTTTGGCAAATACCAGACTAATAGCAATGGTTCCTTCCTTCAGTGTGTTCAGAAGCCTTAGGTGACATATATAGAGAATACTGCCAGTGCGTCGGTTGTCGAATGCTTTGCTCGAAATCCAAAGTGACAATCGCTATGGATTCGGTTGATGCGTCGCAGAATAAAGTGCGATAGTAAGGAAATTGGTCTGTAGCTTCCACGCAAAGACGCATCAGTGCCAGGCTATGGGATCGGTACAACTAGTGCCTCCTTCCATGGTATTGGTGAATGTTGAGGCAGTGAATAAAAAGTACCTCCAGGAAAATTATTATGGCTTCTCCTTCTTTCTTCACTGTAATGTCTGGAAATTTGTCGATACCATACAATTTCTTCGGAGCACGGCGTGCTATAGCAGACCCGACCATGTCTGAGTCTATGAGACCTTTGTCTTCACATCTACGACTATCGTTGATTACAGTTGCATTCGCCTTGGCATTACTGCAGAAATTAACAAGTCTAAATCTTCCACAGCATAGCTGACAAGACTGCGAAAATATTTATCCACTACAACGTCAAATTGGTGATGTCATCTTGAATGCCTTTGATGGGCTGCCTGAAATTCCAGCAGCTCTCTTTACCTTCCCATTCGTCTTGGAATTGACTTAGGTGCCTTCCAGAAGGCCAATAAAACGATGTTTCTCATGTATGTTAATATGTTGCCTTATTATCACACTAAAACGGTATATACATTAGAACTTTTTACCGGGTTAACCTACTTTATGAAGATCTATTTGACATATATGAAAAGGAATTGAAAATTGAAATCCGGTTAAATTTAAAAGCACTATAAGATTCCTGATGTCTGCTTTGAGAAGGAAAAATATGTCTTCTATCAATAGAATATATCTGTAGAACAGGGCCTTTCCTATTAATAGAAGAGAATTCTTTTCCATCTGTAGAAGAGAGCTCTGTATAAGAGTCATCTCCTATTAAATATTTTTACCTATTTTTTTATTTGCTACATATTTCATGTCTGTATTCCATTTTCCAATTTCAGGTTCGTCGCCGCCACTGTGCTCAGTATTAACCATGTCAACTCACTGAAGAAAGAATCTGAATGTTCGGCACCCGGTGAAAAGCCACAATTCTTGGGAGTGCGGGAACAACGTGTCACCCACATTATGATATTCCTTAGCATTGGTCTGTCCGTATATTTGACACCCATTTTGTGTCACATTCCTATGCCGGTATTGTTTGGTGTCTTCTTGTACATGGGTGTTGCCTCGCTAAAGGGTTTGCAGTTCTTCGATCGTTTGTTGATTATGTTGATGCCAGCTAAATATCAACCGGATTATATGTTCCTTAGACAGGTATGAAGAATGGGAGAAGCTTGAAGTGATTAATTTAATAAACTCATTTTGTATGCTTTCAGGTCCCCATAAAACGTGTCCATTTGTTCACAATTATTCAATTGGCTTGTCTGGTGTGTCTGTGGCTCATCAAATCCTTCTCATCCACATCTATACTCTTCCCCTTGATGTTGGTCGTTATGATTGGTATACGCAAGGCCTTGGATTTGGTATTCACACGCCGCGAATTGAAAATCCTCGACGACATAATGCCGGAGATGACCAAACGCCAGGCTGCCGATGATCTCCATCAATTGGATGCTGAGGTGGGGTGCTTTAGAAAAATGTTACCTTGTTTTGGTGGTAGTCGTACTTCACATCCCATCAATGAGAAATCCCCTCAGAAGAAGAATGGTAGCAAAATCAACATGAAATCGGCCAGTTTTACACAGGCCAATGAAAAGGAAATGGAGGCCCAGAGTGCATTGCTGAAGAAATAGATCAGCCAGCAATTGCCTTCTCCTCTTATCTTCATATGTGAAGGAGGAAGATTGGATAACCATGTTTAATTTTGCTACTATTATATGATGATGATGTTATCTCTCTCTATCTATCTCCAACACACGCACACACATACAAACTATCGAAATGAAACTGTGTTTCTATCATTATTTTACTACTTTAATTACCTCGTCTAAATGTATGTGTATTTATTTGATAATCACTGTTAGTTAAACGTTTCTTTCTTTTGAAATGCACTGTAGTAGTCCACCACCACCACCACAAACAATCACAAAAGAAACGCAACAAAGTTTTGTGCTTCACTGTAATTATTTTATTCAAGTTTGAGTTTTGATTTTTTCTGTTTTTAAAGTCAGTATTTGATTATATTTTATTTTTGTATATTTAAGCTAGTTCTTCTTAGTATAATTATGATTATTCTAAATATACATATTTTAATTATTATTAATATTATGTTTTTAATATATATATCGTATAGTTTTGAATGCATTTATATTTAAAAAAATGTTTCGAACAATTTGAGTCTGTGCAGCATTCTAATAACGATAGTAGTTTGTGTTATTTGAAATTTTGTTAGCAATCAATGTTCTAATTTTATTTTATTACAAAGAACAATAGAGAAAGTGTTTATTTTTATAATTATATATATTTTGTTTAATGCTATAACAACAACTAGCTTATAGTCATTTATTTAAATATTTTTTGTTTTCGTTTTATCCTTCATATCCTCCTCTATTTAATGTATTTTACGAAAAATTCTTTGTTTTTGTATTTTTAATCTAGAAAACGTTGTACTAAGTCAATATAGAAAAAGTACCTAAAAACGTATTATAATTAAATGATATATATAATATGTGAGCATTATACATACAAATACATTTTATATATTTACAATACACAAAAAAGCCACAAACAAATATAAATCAAATTTTAACTAAGTGAAGAAAAAGACAACGATCCTATGTAGTAGCATCTGCATTAGTTTGCCTATAAAATTTACATTTTATTGTAATCAAACCCCAACAAACGAAAAAAAAATAAGAAACAAATAATTAAAATAGAACAATTATACAAAACAAAAACACAATTACAACAAAACACACAAACTCTGGAATTACTATATAGAAATGGTAGCCTGTCAATTTGGCTTGAAGATTGACGCCTTGAAACTTTATACTTATTCTGGAGAAATCAAATGAATTTAAACACAGTTACAGTCGTGTCTGGATACATTGAGCCTTCTATATAGTGAACACGATTTTTATAGGCAGTACTCTAACCAGCGAAAATATTAGATATAGAAGTTCTAATGTCAATTTCTTAAGCGTAAGAAGCAAATAAATGAAGTATAACACGTTGAGCGCGGCACCGGTCCCTGGGGACCGTCGCTGAACTTGAACTATATCCAGACAAGACTGTACTTCGTAATTATATGTCATTACGATGATCACATTAAAGTTCAAAATCTTGCTTATAGGATTTAGCAGCTTATTGACGTCTGATGTACATAGAATAAACTGAACACCATAAGAACTTGGTGTTCAGTTTGGAACTTCTACATATGGAGAACCTTTAATATAGCCTTCGAATAAAATGACATTTAAAGAATGACCTCATTTTTATCCACATATCGACGCCTCCGAACCATAGTATGCTAAGTCTGAAAATTGAGTTTTTCAGTAGAAGCTTTCAAAGTATGGAAGTTTCTTTAATCGTACGTGCCATGGTAAGTACATTTTTGCTTATAACTTTGGTTTGGATTGGCCGATGATTACCAAAATTTCAGTGAATTTAAATTAAGGACCGTAGTATCGTAAAACGTAAAGAACTTTAAAACATGCTACGTCGACTTAGCATACTATGGTTCGGATGCGTCGATATGGTACAATATGTGACGACCTACTATTAGAGTTGTCCATATAATCATATAGTTTTATGAAATAGATAAATATTAATATTTTGATTTTAAAAAAACAAGACTTGAGTAAAAATTGTTATGTATTTTTGAAAGGAATATCGTTGGGAGCTTCTGTACACATTTTAAAACGAAATCCCTTAGCTTGAACGATCTTTTGGAGATGATATACGGTAGATTCTTCAAATGGAGGTTATGAGTCTAAACACAACTAAGGTGTCTAGAGTCAGCGACAGCCCAACGGCTTGACGATAGGACAGATTTTATTCATTTTTGCTCAGCGTCATACTCAATAGAGTTGCGGTATTTTAGGTAAAAATCAGCAGTGCTACCAACATTTCAATGGAAATTTTTATCAAAATTTTGACATTTTGTGCCGCTACCGCTAACTCTTTTGTTTGGCGAAAAAGTATGCCGCTGACTCCGGACTCTCTGGTTGTGTTTAGACTCTATGTCAAAATATGAACCTATATAAAACATTTTTGAGATTAAACCGGTAATACAAAGTTATAGTCAATTGAGCGAACATTTTAATATAAAATACACAAGCTTTATTGAATCAAATAGGATCAGGGATGGTCCGTATGACGAATTTTTAGGTTTTCGACTGTCAAAAAGGTGTAAACGTCGAAAACGTCATATACCTGTATAAAATGTAATAAATGTAGAAAACGTCATTTTCAAAAATACATATTATTTTTACATATATCTGTCTGTTTCTTACTAGCACTAATACAAAATTCTAAACTTTTTGGAGAAAAAGATTTTGAAATTATTTATGGATTTCAGTAAAGCATACGTAATTCCCAAATTTATTAATGGAAATAGGTATTTTGTCAAAAACCTAATGGCTTTGGGTGAGTTTCCGACGTTTTTGACGTCTGTAATATACGTCGAAAATGTATGTCATTTACGTCACTGTTTCTGACGGACCACCTCTGAACAGGATGCTTAGAAACTTCGAGAAAGACTAAAAATTAAGAATAAAGAATAGAGATACAGAACGGAGAAACAGGAGGCCATGTTGCCATATTCATAATAATTCATAGAGTTGCCATATAATTTGTAATTTAAATTCCCATATTCTTCCACCACACGTTTTAGGTCGAAGAGTCTGTAAGTTGATATTTTATTTATAAAGAGTGTTTACCGTTTGTTTGAAAACCTGAAACCCCATGTTACAGCCACTACGGCAAGAGCAAATGAGTGATTTTGACATTTTCGTTCGTATAATGAGAGTCCAATTCGTTATAGTTAAAACCAATATGTGAGAAATCTTTATCTACCATTACTTGTTTTTTCGATTGAACTTTCGTTCAAATACATTAACATTTAGAAAGGGTTTACGGAAACCCAAATTGATTTTTTCGAATGAATGCGAAAAACCCCCTTAGATCGACTTAGGGAAACAGGCTGTAAATATTGTGTGCTTTATCTAAATTATTTATATGGGGTTTTAACAGATCTGTATAAAACATTGTGAACTATATCGTTTAACAGACGGACATGGATTCTCTGTTAGATATCTTCAAAAAAAGAGATTTGGATTGGTCCAAACTACCTTTAGTCCGTATCTGGGTTCCCGATCGATCTATATTAAATATTGTTAACTATATCGTGATTCCAACAGATGTGCATTCAAAATACGTAAAGTCGGTATTAAATATTGTGTTTCAACAAACGGACGGGGAGAATATCTTTGGTATCGATCGCAACATCCACCGAGATTTTTTCATCCACCTCTATTATGTCCTGACATGGATTTTCTCATAGATATATTCGTTACGCTCAGTCAAAAACGTCGTTAATTTTGGCCCGGTCGAACTTTTACCTGTAAATATCAATTGATGCCAAATATAAAAATAGACATTTTTCTGACATTATATCGCCATTTCTTAAAAATTACAGATTTGTTCATTATGAGTATAAAGTTTCAAAACTCAATTATAAACAATAGATTAGTTATATTATAAGCTAATGTTATATTTAATTTAAAAAATAAAACTCATAAAAACAAAATCCATTTCCCCAGTTATCCATTTTTGTTTAATCATCTATAAATATTTTGGAAATCTATCATAACTCTGAAATACGTTTAATATTTTTGTAATTTGTTCTTTCGAAGACTCCTAACGAATATCCAGTGTAAGTTTATAAAAAGTACACACCTTCTCGTCGATTACTTTCTGTTTGGGCTAAAATGTTCCCACACTTTTGGAAGGTTAAGGTCCGACTTTGAATCCTTTGGTAGAACATACTGTATATATTTGGTTCAAACTTTAAAAGACAGGTGTGTACATAGACACTAAATATCAAAATGAAAATAATTCTCATAAAAGAATTATGGAATCGGTTTCTAAAAATACTACCAGCAACTTCAGGCCAAACACAAATATTTCACAAAAAAGTCTAATTATTACAGGATTCACAATCGAAATTTTAGAGAAAAATTCTTCATACGAAATTTCCTTATTTCGATCGATATATGATGGAGCTGGATATATTTTCGCAATATAAATTTACTTCAAAATTTAAAAAGTCACAAAAAAATGTTTCACCCGTAATATTACTGCTATTTAGTTGTGCAAATAGAAATTTTTCAATTTCAATTAGAATCATATTTTTCTCGTCATAATTTTAATTTAATTTCCGCCCACAATTTTCTAAACTAATTTATCACAACATTTCACCTGAGATCGTTTTAAAAATTTTCTAATTTCACCCTTATGGCACCTTTTGTTCTCATTACACTCAATCACTTGTGCTAGTGATAAATTTTCAAACAACAAAACAAGGTCCATAATAAATTCCTCCAATAACAAAATACGATAAGCAAACAAAACAACAAAAACCCTATGTATATTATTTTTAAGGATCATCATCAACACCACCACCACCAACAACATCATGACAGATACGATAAATATAATTCTTCTATAAATCCGGGACCAACAACTATACACATACCCCTAAAAGTTGACTCAAGTGAGACATCATCAGCGACACAACAACAACAGCAGCAACAACAACAAGGAAAATCAATGAATATGCCACAAGAGATACAAAGTATTTGGCAGCAATTACACGAAGATGGTAGTTCAACGGAACAGTTGATAATACCGATCAACTTTAAAGTTCGTCAGGTTAACGGGAGTCATAAGTAAGTTGAGTTGAGTTTAATTTTCTTTCAAATCATAACAATTGTAGAAAGCCAACATACCAACATAAATACATACTATGCCGAGAAGTAAACGAATAAAGCTAGAATTGTAAATTGTTTTCTTTTTTTATTTCATTTCCTATTTTTCTTGTTCTCCATTTATGCATTTTTCATTCATTATAAATTTACAAAAATAATAACAAATACAATCAAAAAACTAAATTGCATCGGAATAGTAAACAACAATCACTGACCACCATGAGCGAGGAAGATGAAAATACAACAACCACGACAACACCGAGCAAAGTCATTTTTGATAATTCATCAAAAACCGATTCATTACATGTTAAGGAAACGACTTCGCACGATGCCGAAAATAATAAAAACCTAATAACGCCAGTCTAAATCGAAGTCAATGAGAATTATATAGAGCCATTTTTAGAGAGAAAAAATGAAAAGCCATAGAAACACATGCGCACATTATGAATAGCACAAATAACGTATGGTATTATGCAATTGTAAGAATAGCACAGGAACAAAACAAAGCAGGCTTTTAAAGAATATATATGAATGTAATAGAGTTGCGTTGTTATTGATATGAACTTTGATTGGTAATACAGAAAATCTTATGATAAACGGTTTAAAATTACGTTAATTTCGATCGGATGGAACTTATTTATACCATACACAGTCTAGTAACTGGTAAACTACTTGTTTTTAATAAAAGTGGAGGCGAATTGTTGCAAGCGACTAATTCCAACTATTGATATTTATAGACCTTTTTTAACCTTTGAAATTATAAAATGTCAAATTGCAGCCACTTTGTGTTTAAAAAAACGGTCCTCTAAAATGCCAAATGTGTCAATAAGTCTCTTATTGAGCATATCTAAATGAGACGACCATGTATAATTAGGCTATGTCAAAATATGGAAAGCTCACAATTTTCTGTCAGAAGGTATTGTATTCATTGAAAATCTAAACTGTCAAAATTTAATATATTTTCTAAAACTGAACATTGCTCTCAGGATTTAACCATAGTTGTTACATATTATATTTTATAATATTATATGAGCAATTTTTGCAACTGAACACATGATATCCGTACATTTCGAAGAAAGATATTTTCATTTAAATTTTTAAAGCTGAATACTGTCAAAAGCAAATTTATGAACAAATTGGAAACAATGACGGCATGAGGCTACCTTATATAATTATGTCATTGGTGCATACAAAGCAGCTAAAATTTCACTTCGTTTGGAAAATAAGTCCAGGAGGATGCTTACCTTTTTAAATTTTTGTCTCAGGACAAAAGGTCGATTTTTAGAATTTCCACTTTTTCCTTTGCTAAAAAGTCGACTTTTCGATCATGTCTGATCTGTTCAAAGTTGATTTTTGACTTTTACTAACACAAAATCGACTAAAAATGTAATTTTTTATATGAATTATTGTCAAAAAAAAAGGTTCTGCAAAGCTTTTTCAATTTGAAAGACCATGTTTCGATATCTTTATCTTCCACTTCATGTTTCCATCGAATTCGTGGTCTTCCCCTTCGGCATAAACTATCAGTTGGCTCGCTTTTATATGCCTTTCTCACAACATGACTTAGACACTGTAGTCGCTGCAGCTCGATACGTCTGACGATGTACGAGTATAGATGGTACAACTCATGATTCATTCGATGGCTATATTCACGTCCAGGATTATGAATGTACCTAAAATGTGGCGTGACTTGTATATAGGGGTTGTATATCACTATGTCTAAGCATTGATCAATACTGAATATTTTCTGCAAATATGTAGTGGACACTTCCAAGAAGCCTTAACAACCAGCCTCAAAATACCAAAATGGAATGGTAACCGTTATATGTGACTGTAACAAAACATAGACCAATATATCCTATTCATAGGAGTGTAAAATTTAAAGCTCTATCTTAAATATTGCGATCTCTAGCGCTCACGACAACTCATCTACCAAACATCTAATAATATATTCTCTAAATTTCATTTCTAAACATTTTTTAATGTTATTCAAAACATTTCAATTGAAATTTATAACATTTCACTTGTAATTCATAATATTTCAGTTGTAATTCATTCCAAATTCATACATATTAATTGTGTGTTACCAATAATACTTTTCAAATTTAGAATTAAAAGTTTTGAATAACAAGTGAAATATTATGTATTTCAAATGAAATGTTATGAATTTCAAATGGAATTTTATGAATTTCAAATGCAATATTTGGAATTCATATGCGAGTTTATGAATTTCAAATGGAATTCTATGAATTTCGAAAAGTATTCTATTAATTACAAATTAAATTCTTGAATTACAACTGATATGTTATGAATTGCAAATGGAATTCTCGAATTGCAAGTTGTATGTTGTGAATTACAAATGGAATTATCGAATTACATTTGATATGTTTTGAGTAACATGTGAAAAAGGTGTAAAATAAACATTACAAAACTATATTCTCAATTAAAGTTCAATCAACATTATTCATACCCTATTGAGACCCAAACTATATGTCTAAACTAAAAAAAAACAAATGTTTTATAGATTGACAACTAAATTCAAAGTATACACATTTAAAATGAAATCATATTAATTTCCATCCCTTTTTACAAAGTAACAAACAACCCATTGAAAGATTTTTATACCGCATCACAATGTGACATACATAAATACGTATAAAATTTTAAAAATCCGTACTATATAGAATTAACCCATTTTATATATGTGTCTAAAATTGTATTTTCAATATATATATATATATATATATATTTGAAGTAAAAACAAATTGGTAAAAAAAGTCAATTGAAATACAAAAGTTAATTAATGTTTACTTTTTTATTCAAAATTTTCGGTTTTCATTTGTTTTGAGAAGAAGATAATATTTTTTCAGTTGCCATCTATTCTATAGAGAGACCTAAGGATCTTCATTTTTTATAAGGACTTTTTTTAATACCAAAGATATGCATCTACAGAGAATAATACCCCAGACCTGTTATAGAAAAAGGAATGAGCATCTTGCGCTATAAGAAAACCTTAAGTCTTCATCGATACAAGGCCATCTGTTATAGATGTGTACCTACACCTCTGTAGTTGTAGATCTGAAAAACATTACATTCACACCATATTATAATATTATAAATTGATAACAGTTAAAAACAATAATGTTGATTTTACAGTATTTTAGCAATTATTTATAAAAAAGGATTGAATACAATCGTTCATTATATTCATATCAATATTTATTTTCCCAAAAAATAACCTTGATCGCATTTCAAACATCCCCGGTAGTTATTTATAAATGTCAATAGAACTATTTAATAATTGTAAAAGCATTTTAACCAATAATAATAATAAAATTACATTTTCAATACCACATTCTTGGTTTTATTTAGTTTCAAACAAAAGGTCATTTAGGTTTGATGTTGATTAACATTTGTTATATACATATTATTTTTAAAATTTAAAAAAACATTGTATTTTTAGTTATTCTCCTAATACTACTGAGAAGTCCAAAACAAACAATCCAATCATTTTTTTTTATTATTAAAAGCCATGATGTTCTGGCATACGACGAAACTGTTTAATTTTTCTACTTTTTTCCTCATAAAATATTCAATAAATGTTTTGCACAACTCCTTTAAATATAAATGTTTTAGAAACAGGATTTATTAACATTTAAAAACAACACAATGTCCACATTCAAAATACATCCTCTTAAGACAGGAATGACTATATTGACCATATCTCACACATTGTTGTAAGTAAACTAAATGGAATTCAGTAGAGCTGCATGATTGTTAGTATCATTCTTTCTGTAACTTTGTTTTTTATCTTCATCGCCCAAATATGTTCATAATTGTTTGTTGAATAGTTTAAATTAAATTTCTCTAAATTTTCAGCACAAAACATCTGATACGTCAGTACGAAAATGGGACGGATATACAAATAATAGACGCCTCTACGTATCGTCAACAGAAACATCCGTTTGAGACGATGGTATGATTAAGGCAAAATAAAAATGAAGCCAGAAAATAAAATATTTTTTTATATGAATGATAAATGTAAACCTGTATGGAACGTTCCTTAAGCATCCATAACAAAAAAAAAAGAGAAACCATGTAACCGACCGACCAGAACCACCGTGCCAAAACAACGATACATAATCATTATATTCCCATTGCACACATACATACAAAGTAATATCGATAACAAGTTTATTAAGATATAATGACTAATGAAGATGGCTATGAAGAACCTTTCAACATAAAATATGACACGTGAAAATTTGGCACCTTTATTAACTTTGATTCGCAAAACGAGGGTTCAAAGCAACTGGAATATTTTTGAGCTGAAACTCAGACGCTACTTTATTATGAGTTAATATGAATTCAAATACTAAAACTGTAAATGAAGTTCCCCATATATTCTACACCTTTTTATAATGTTATTCAAAACATTTCAATTGCAATTTGAGAATTTCATTTGTAATTCGAAAACTAATTGTTATGAATTGCAAATGGAATTCTTGAATTGCAATTTGTATGTTGTGAATTGCAAATGGAATTCTCGATTTACATTTGATATGTTTTGAACAACATGCGATATGTTTTGAACAGGTGTAGAAAAAGACAAAAAAATTATATTTTAAATGAGGGTCATCTATGTTTATTCTATTTTAGGGGATAACATCAAACCTCAATTAGTTCCAGTGGTATATATTTGACGTATACGCTATGGGTTAACGAAATCTTGTAAAATGTAAACGTACTATAAGCATGATACTCTTGTATGTATGTGTGTAAAAAACATTTGACATATCACCTATTTCAAATTGTTAATCCCGTTCCATGATCTAGTAATATATTTTAACTGTTAATAACAAAAAAAAATGTATATTGAAAGAAAAAAAAAACAAATCATATAGATTTATTATTTGTAAATGTTTATCTATCAAACCACAACAAGAAAAATATAATATTTAAGGTTCCAGTAATTAATATCAACATAGAAATAGACGAATTTTGACATTGATCCAAAAATTACAAAACAAAAACGATGTGGGAAAAATGTATGGAAAATAAAGGGGAATTTACACCCAAACCTTTCTTTAATATCATCATTTACTTTACATATGTACAACGGAAGTGGCAATTAAAATGACGATATATCAAATAACACCTTCGGTGTAAATGCTCCCATACTGTTCCACTATGTTTAATGCTGCATTTTAAATATATGCAATGGAAATTAATTTTGAAATGAAGATTAAGTGATGATTTATCATAAGACGTTCGATGTCAGTGTGTCTTATGTTATTGCAATTATTTGACATATGTTGGTTTAGACTACGACGTTTAAATTTGCGAAATCCACTCGATCCCAAATGTCAATTCCATAGTGTATATGTGAAGTATATATAATACACTGTATTTGTGAACAGGATTAACTTGACGTATACGCTATGGAATTGGCGTTTGAAATCGAGTGGATTTAGTAATATAAACGCGTACTTATTTTATATATGAAACAAGTAAAATATAATACTAAAAACGTAATGTTAATTGTTTTAATAAAAATACAAAGGAACACCATTGCAACATACCTATATACCTCCTTATTTTAGTGTAAAACAAAATTATTATTGTTAATAAATATACAGAAATTATATAACAACCTCATTGTATGCATTTTAATTGGGAAAAAATAAAGAAAAGGAATCTTTCAATTATTATATATCTCCTAATTGTTTGAATTTTCCTAAAACACCTGAAATTCCGCCTTGAAATTATTAACATCACTAATTGGTGCGTTAAAAGTCACAACATGCCATGATTACTCAAAACAAAGTAATCATTAGTTTGCTATTTAACAGCTCATTGGCAACTCTACCCAATCATATTGTCATAAACAGCTGTAACGTGCCGTCTTTTTCGTTGTTGCTGTAACACTGCAGTGCAGTTGTGGGGACCGTAGTTTTTTGAGATTGTGTGATTTTTTCGAGTTGGTATTGGGAAAATATAAATAAAATTAATTAACGATGACATTAATTAAACGTTTGGTGACTAGTAATCTAGTTAACCGTTTAAATAACCTTAAAACCCTCAACAATGTAAGTAATTTTAATTGACAACTTTCTGTTGATTTTGTGAACAAAAAAATGTAGGTTATGTAATATTGGTTGCCTTGTTGTAAATGGATACAAGAGTTTCCTTCATCTTCTCCCTTTCTACATTTCCAGAATGGTTATTGTACACATTTGAAATTTGCCGAACACAAACCAATTGAAAAAATCCGCAATATCGGTATCTCAGCTCACATTGACAGCGGTAAGACCACCTTGACGGAACGTATCTTGTTCTATACCGGTCGTATTGCTGCCATGCACGAGGTCCGTGGTAAAGACAATGTGGGTGCAACTATGGACTCTATGGAATTGGAAAGACAACGTGGTATTACAATTCAATCTGCAGCCACCTACACCCTGTGGAAGGACACAAACATCAATATCATCGATACACCTGGCCATGTGGATTTTACCGTAGAAGTCGAAAGAGCTTTGCGTGTTTTGGATGGTGCAATTTTGGTACTCTGTGCCGTAGGCGGTGTCCAATCTCAAACGTTGACTGTCAACCGTCAAATGAAACGTTACAATGTACCCTGTTTGGGTTTCATCAACAAACTCGATCGTATGGGTTCCAACCCCTATAGAGTGTTGTCGCAAATGCGTTCCAAAATGAATCACAACGCTGCTTTCATCCAATTGCCTATTGGTTTGGAAAGTGACTGCAAGGGTATTGTTGACTTAGTGGGAGAGAAGGCTATCTATTTCGAAGGTCCCTTGGGTACGGATATAAGATACGATGAAATCCCCAAGGATATGCGCACCGAATCCGATGAAAGACGCCAAGAACTCATTGAACATTTGTCCAATGTTGATGACACTTTGGGTGAAATGTTTTTGGAGGAGAAAGCTCTTACGGAAAATGACATCAAGGCTGCCTTGAGAAGAACATGTATCAAGCGTACATTCACGCCTGTTTTGGTTGGTACAGCATTGAAAAACAAAGGCATACAACCCTTGCTGGATGCTGTCATTGACTACTTGCCCCATCCCGGAGAGGTAGAAAACATTGCCATGATTGAGGAAGACGGCAAGGAACCACAAACTATTGTCTTGAATCCTGCACGCGATGGCAAAGATCCATTTGTGGGTTTAGCCTTTAAATTGGAAGCCGGTCGTTTTGGTCAATTGACATATTTGCGTTGTTATCAAGGTGTATTGCGTAAAGGCGATACCATCTTCAATTCCAGAACCAACAAAAAGGTGCGTCTGGCCCGTTTAGTACGCCTGCATTCCAACAACATGGAGGATGTCAACGAGGTATATGCTGGTGACATTTTCGCCTTGTTTGGCGTTGATTGTGCCTCCGGTGATACCTTCACCACCAATCCACGTGATGGCCTAAGTATGGAGTCGATTTATGTACCCGATCCCGTTGTATCGATGGCAATCACACCAAACAATCCCAAGGATCGTGATAACTTCGCCAAGGCTGTACAAAGATTTACCAAGGAAGATCCCACCTTCCATTTCTATTATGACAACGATGTTAAGGAGACTTTGGTATCTGGCATGGGTGAATTGCATTTGGAAATCTATGCCCAACGTATGGAACGTGAATACAACTGTCCCGTTACCCTGGGCAAGCCCAAGGTTGCTTTCAGAGAAACATTGGTGGCACCCTGCTCATTCGATTATTTGCATAAGAAACAATCGGGTGGTTCCGGTCAATATGCCCGTATCATTGGTGTCATGGAACCATTGCCACCACATCAAAACACCCTATTGGAATTTGTTGATGAGACCATTGGTACAAATGTGCCCAAACAATTTATACCTGGTGTAGAGAAGGGTTTCCGTGAAATGGCCCAAAAGGGTATGTTGTCGGGTCACAAATTGTCTGGCATCCGATTCCGTTTGCAAGATGGTGGACACCACATTGTAGATTCCAGTGAATTGGCGTTTATGTTGGCTGCCCATGGTGCCATTAAGGAAGTATTCCAACAAGGTGCATGGCAAATTCTTGAACCCATTATGTTGGTGGAAGTAACAGCCCCCGAAGAATTCCAAGGCGCTGTAATGGGTCAATTGAATAAACGTCATGGTATTATTACCGGTACCGATGGTAACGAGGGATGGTTTACCGTCTATGCTGAAGTTCCACTTAATGATATGTTTGGTTATGCTGGTGAATTGAGGTGAGAGAAAATAGTTTATGTTGTTTTAGGAGACCTAATTAAAATTGGATTTTTTTCTTTTCAGATCAAGCACCCAGGGTAAAGGTGAATTCACAATGGAATATTCCCGTTATTCACCATGTTTGCCCGATGTACAAGAACAAATTGTACGTCAATATCAGGAAGCACAGGGCTTGATTCAACCCGACAAAAAGAAAAAGAAGAACTAAGCTATCATATTTCCAAAATTCATCTATGTTATAAGTCGAATAACCTGTTCTAGAATTATTATGTTTATAATTTTCAATAATTTTAATTTAATTTTGTTAAAATACATTTTTTGTACAGCTGTGATACAAACAATATAAAAGAAGAAAACTGCAATAGTAAATACTGAGGAATTCTTTGAGGAGAAAATTCAAATATGATGTTAACCAAATGTTGCACTGGGTAGGATTGGAGGAATACAAGTTACTGTTGTAGATGCTAGAAACCTCTTGTAGTGGCATAACGATGTTAATTTGGGCTTTGCAATCCAACAACACAATACTATTGGCAAAATGTAATCAATAGGCTGTTCCGAAAATCATTTTTTGAAAGCAAACATAAGTTTTTTTTTAATACAAAGTTGATGGCTAGCCGATGTGAATTTCTTGCAACGGAGAATGGACTGAGGTGACTATTGAAGAATATCGACAAATGTAAAATTGTATTATCATGTTATTATTATCATATTATCATCATATTAGTATTATCAAATATATTACAAATCATAAAACTGAGCAAGATATTACAAGCATGCTTATATACATTTTTGGCATCCAGCCAAAATCAAAAGAGTTCAAGGAAAATTGCCCGTTGGAAACAAATAATAAGACGAAGTTGAAAGGGGTCAACAGCAGAACCAATAAAATTACCAACTATTGCGACTATACCCCATATATAAATATGCTTATAATCTGTGCTACGATAATGTTGAATGTCGACTATATATTCTACCAGATATTATTGATTATATTTTGATATTAAACGTATTGCTGGGAGAAGAAAGTGCACAAATCACTGACACTTGATATCGCTGTTATAATTTTCAATAAAAAAGTGGCAATAACAATAAACACAATTGAATCTACAATTTACAATACATCTAACTACCATAGAAGTAAAACTTAACTTACATCTCTATATTCAGCATTTGACTGCATTTGTGGCTGTGTAAATTTGCAATTCCATTTGTGATTCATTTAATTTCTTTTTGATTTTCTTTAAAATGTTTTATTAACAATACTTATTTCGCACTAGTAACAAACTTAAACTTGATCCAATTTGAATTTTTGGCCCTTGACCATGGCATCGGTACGATGTAATTGGTACAACAGGCGATCTTCAATATGTTTGACCGCATCCACGGTTAAAACTAATGTGTCGTGTTTCAACATTGAATAACAATTTAAACTAAATGCAGGCATTAAATTGACATAGCCCAAGGAATCGGTAGCATAACAGATGTTCTCAGGGAATTCATCATTCCTGCAAAAAAACAATAATCACATTAATACGTTCGATCAACTGATCCATGCTACACACTTACTTGTCAACAATCAAAACAGATGGCCCCCAATTCCTCTCATGTATTAAATCCTTTATAAAATCTGGATCTTGACTGGGTATATCAACATTACTGATGATATGCAAATCATCCTGGGCCAATTTAACACTAAGAGTTGATGTCAATCCCAAAACTCTCTTCAAAAATGGTAGCATATAAAAGTGGGTGGTGGGTGAGCGGGGACCATGTGATATACCACCGCCTTTCAACATGGGCGATCTAAGCGAACCGTGACGAGAACGACCGCCACCCTTCTGTGGCCATGGTTTACGTCCACCACCACGTACCTCAGCTCGATTCTTGGTATCGGCAAAACTTACATAACGGTACTTTCTTTGCCATTCAATATTCTCCTGTATTACATCAACTCGGGGCTGTGTGGCGAAGACATCAGGATGTAGTTCGATGAGACCCAATTTACGTTCTTCGACGGCATCGATATTCTCTATCCATGCTTGGCGACAATCTTTGAGATTTAAGGGTGCGAATTCCTTGAATGTTTGTGGCAACAACAATGCCGGTCCACTTGATGTTGGTGGTACTGGAACGTTGGGTTTCTCGACGACTTGTGGGGTTTCTTCAGCAGATGTACGTGCAACGCAACTGGAAGATATGCCCCGAACAGCGGGAGCAATAACCAATTTAGTTTTATTTAATAAACCCAACATTTTTCGGGGCACAATGTTTTGGAATTTTTCGCAGTTGTCGGGCCGACCTGCATGTGAATTAGGGATAAGTAAATCGGCTTTTGACTAATCGATTAATCGACTTTTTGTGTAGAAAAATCTAAAAGTCGAAATCGACTTTTGATCTTTGAGGAAGTCACAAAGTCGATTTTTTCCTAAATACTTGGTATATTAACACAAAGCTAAAAATTATACATTTCACAGCATTATTTCACCTGTTGACAACAACAGGTGAAATAATAATAATCATGCGTATGCGTACGAATTTATTCACCTCAAAAGTTAATTACATGTATTTAAATGAATATTACCCAAATACGCATTGCGTATAAAAATATAAAGTTGAAAATTTTCAACATTGACAATGCGTATTTTGGAAATTTTGTTTTTTGAAAATAGAATTCTAGTCATTGAAAAATTTGTTTTTCTATAAATTGGTCTGTTCCCGTACTGCAAGAATCTACTAGATTTTACTATTTTCTTCGATAACATAAAGGAAAATTCGTTATCGTAGTAAAACGTAGTAGATTCTTGCAGTACGGGAACAGACCAAATGTAAACATTTTTCGATCAATTAAAAAATGTAGTCATCCATTTTCGCCGTTTTTAATTGGCGCAGATGCAATAGTAAAAATATACATTCAATTTGGTACTTTTTCAAAAGTAGATGTGACTCATATCGAACGATAAGTTGTTTGTTACAGAAACCAAATTTGATTCGAATTCGAGTGACTACATTCGATCGAAAAATCTTTCAATCGTTTTAGTGAAACAGGCTATTCATTTTTCAGACTTGTTGTTTCTTCTTTCGATTTTTGATAAATCGAGTTCTTCCTACTAACAAATCCAGAGCGGTGTGCACATGATCAATTTTATATGACATGTTATGCTAATCCATGATCTAATAAACAGGTCGTGTCAGAAGCAATAGTTATCGACAATTTTGGATTAAAATCCCCCCAAGCTGTCAAATTGTTTGTTTACGTTAAGTCAAAATTTGACAGCTCGGGTGAAATCACCTGGCCTTATCGGACGACCCTATTATTGGATCATGTGCTAATCTAATGTCTATTAATAAGGTCACACACATGATGCAATAATAAGGTGATGTATCAAAACAACAACTTTTGTTTTTGTCTCGATCCTCTGTCAAATTTTTCCTTATAATATTTCACGTGGTTGGCAACATTGCACATCGAATTCATATAGAAATTAACCACCTTGACAGTTAATCGAGGCATCAGCTGCGCTAAATGGACTACCTATTTATTGTGCCATGGTCACGCAGGTTGCAATCGTGTAAAGTTTATTCACAATGATGCATTTTGACAGCAAACTTGAGAAGCATCTGAATTAAATCTGGTGTATTAAAATTTGATTTCTTATTCGATATTGTGAAGAAAACGTGTCGCTCAATTCAGGTTTCCCGTTTTTGGTACAATTTTAAAAAAATATGTTAAATAACTACATCTACTTGTTGCATTTGTATTTATTTATTCAGTATGTGCATGTGTTTCAGACAATTTGTAGTCGATTTAAAAATGTCTGTTCGGCTGTCTGTCAATTATATGTCAATATATTTCATTTTATTTTAAATATTTTTGTCATAGTATTTCAAACAATGCACATAGTATTCAAAACAATATACACGAAAATATGTATGTATTTTGTTTTGATAGAACAGGCCACTTTGGAAAAAAATGGTTATTGATAAACTAGAACTTTGTACCAGGTTAACCTACGATATGAGGATTTATTTGACGTATATGCAATGGATTTGATAATATTCCATTTGTCTACATTTGGAAAAAAATTAAATCCAATTTTTTAGCAGTCCGAAGATGAGGTCCATCGGTTTACCCCTTTCGTAACTCCTTTACAAAGCTTAAAAATTTGAATTTATTTAATTCAATATCAAGCGAATGAGCAGGCTTTGATCAAATCTTTGCACATCATAACACTTTTACCAAACCTAGATCCATAAAAATGTTACGACGAAGAAAAGTCAGAATAAATGTATGGCTAATGAGCCTCATTGAAATATTAGTTTTAGGCCTTTGGACCAAATTCCAATTCCTTTGGACCAAATTCGTTTCAGACAATTTGGAGTGGATTTACAAATGTCGGTGCGTCTATCTGGACGGCTGGTGCGCATGATAACCAGAGATGGTCTGTCAGAAACAGTGACGTAAATGACATACATTTCCGACGTATAATACATACGCCAGAAAAGTCGGAAACCCACCCAAAACCATGGGTTTTTGACAAAATAGATATTTCCATTAATCAATTGGTCTGTTCCCGTAATGCAAGAATCTACTAGTTTTTACAATATTTTTAGATAAAGGAAAACTTTTTATCGTAGTAAAAAGTAGTAGATTCTTCAAGTACGGGAACAGACCAAATTTGGAAATTACGTATGCTTTACTCAAATCCATCTCAAAATTCAAAATTTTCTTCTCCAAAAAGTTTAAAATTTTTTATTAGTTCTAGTAAGAAACAGTCAGATATGTAAAAATAATATATATTCTTGAAAATGTATATGGTAATAATATTCAAATAAATGAAGTTTACTAGATTTATTACATTTTATACAGGTATATGACGTTTTCGACGTTTACACCTTTTTGACAGTCGAAAACCCAAAAAATTCTCAAAATCGTGATAACGCATTTATTGAGAGAACACGTCGGAAAACAGACAAACTCATGCTTTGGGCGCCAAGTTCAATTGGCAACCAAGATCATCTATTAATTCATTATACCTTTCATCCAAACTTTTCACATCTTTATATTTCTTTCAAACATAGTTTATGTTCGAAGATGGAGAATATAGATCCACTCCTACTGATACCTCCCCCACAAAATGGTCAAAATTGTGCCAAAAAATAATTTTATAATAACATGCAAACGGACTATCCGATCTTATCCGAGACTTTGTACAACCTATTAACTTTACCAAGCCTAGATCAAGTAGGAAGATGGGACCTATTGGTCCCACTCCTTCTGGTACCTCCCCACAGTCGGTAAAAATTTTCTATATTTATAAATCCAATATCCAGCTAATGGAATGTACGGAAGCAAATTTTGAACAACCTATTATCTTTACCAAGCCTTGATCAAGTTTGAAGATGGGACCCATTGGTCCATTCCTTTTGGTACCTCACCCACAAAGGGTCAAAATTCTTAATATTTATGAATCCAATATCAGGCAAATGGAATGTCCAATTTGAACCAAATTTTGCACAACCCATTATCTGAACCAAGAATTTATCAAGTTTGATCAATTAATGATTGGCAACGAACCCTGAAATACGTAAAATCCTATGCCTCATGAGTGCAGATGGAGGAATTGAAGATGTTGTTAAGAATAGACTCAACAAAGCCAGGTCCTCAAGGCTCTAGAAGATCTGGCCGTCCTAGAAATACATGACGCAGAACTATTAGTAAGAATAGAATGGAATTTTCTTTAAATGTTCTATGTTCCCAAGAGGAATAAATAAAGGGAAAAAGTTTTTCGGAGGGGATATGTAAAGTTTAAAGTTGGTACTGACAAAACCGCAGTCAGTCATAGGAAAATATTCTCAAGGATTAATCATCTAAGACGAAGAAAAATTATCTTTAATACTGAGAATTAAATTTTTTTCATTTTGTATGTGCCATGTTTGCTCAAAATTCCATTTTGATATGTCGATCTGATTCTAAAATCTGCCAAAGATGGCGATTATAATTTAGAATTACAAGTCGCTATATAATTTTAGATTTTAATTCAGCTCCTATATACAAATGATGTAATCTGGACATCTCGTATATTGTTATAAGATGCATTAGCATAGAATATATATATATATATATATATTTAGATTATGACAGCTTTATAATAATAAAGGACTTTTCAATAATATTTTAGGCAAGATAATTTTTTTATTAAAACATTATTACACATTTATATTAAAATTAAATTAGTTTTTATTTATTTTTTTTAATTTTATTTTATTCCTCTTACACATATGTATATATAGTGTGTATGTACTCACATACTAATGTGCGCATTTATTAGAGATCGTTCAGATTTCTTCAACAAACAACAAAGAAAAAAGCCAGCACATTCACATCATTTGGTGGCAATTGGAAAATCAATTCTTTGTTTACTTTTCCCATGATGCGAGTGACTTTTAAAAGGCAAAAATTCCCTATTACTAAGAAAAATACCCATAAGAATCATTATGGTTTTCAAACACATTATGCCATTCCGACAACTGATAAGCGCGCTGTCATCAGTAGTAGTCAATCGGAACAGCAGCGGTTTTGCTCACACCGAAATATGAGAGAATAACCCGATAATTTCCTTAACAAAAATCCAAAAATTAAATGAAAATATCAGAAGAATGTAGTCAAATTTCCTATTCAAGACAAGGCATTGGCCGCGGCGGCGCTACACACACATAACAATAACAGCTGGAACGATCAGACAATCGGAAATAACACATATGATGATGATGATGAATATGCATATGAGCGAGCATCCACATCATTCAGGGCCAATAAACCACTCGACAAATATTTAATTATCTCAAAATAGGATATTTAGATAAATTGTGCAGGTAGGTAGTGTGCTGAAGGTTCTTTTATGTTGTTTGAGATGAAAAAAGAGTGTCTGGAAAAGAGAGTGTTGTCTTTTAGTAAGGATATGTTTTTATCTTTGACCTAGCCACGGTGTGACCTGGAATTTCCAAATTTAAAATTAGCCTTCTCCCTCTCAGTAAATGTAGAGGAATTTTTTGTCAAAAACATTAGTATTACTTCATCGTTTGAAATATAAACATCTTTCGGATTTGATGTGCGTAAATATTTGTTTTTAAATTCGCGAATACTGAAAAATAGATATATAATAAATAAAAAAATTAATTATAAAAATAATGTAAGTTTTATATAAATTGTTTGTATATTTGTTATGGTTCATGATGGTGTTGACGGTTATTGGTTGTGCAAGTGTTCTATTAATTGGAACAGTGTTTTAAATAAAAGTTTGAAAATTTGTGAAAATATTAATAAAAGTTGTTTATTAAATTTTTATTAAAAAATACATTACTAACGAATTTGTACAGGATATGAAATACATATATAACATATATTGAATATATACATAAAAAAATTAAAATATAACAATTATTTTGATCAATACTTGAATTACCTTAAACAATGTTTTTTTAAATAAATCAATAAATATCAGTTTCAAATGTACACACAATATATGGAATATATAATATAGAAGTTATGGAATATAAAATATACTTTATATTGAATATATGTATATGTAGTTTAAATATAATAATTCTACTGGTTTCCCCAAAAAAAAATGCTTTATAACAAATAAATATATGTACTTGTTTATTTTTATGTAAGACTAGCACATTTAAAAATATGTTATTTTAAAATATACATATTTACAAAGATTAGAAAAAATAATTTTATTTATTAATACACGGTTTTCCCCAAATCATTATTATTTAAAAAAATATAATTTTCTAATCTATTTGTTTAATTCATTATTTTTATTGAATTATCAATTTGCTTTAATGTATATGTAAACTGTTGTATTAATTTTCATAAAAAAATTATTCATATCGTGAAGAATATTTGAAAAAATGACTAGTTTTTTTATTATATTTTTCCAAATATTAATTTCCTTTATTATTATTTCTCCATCGCATTTTAGTCTTGATTTAGATTAGGCGAGTTTACTTGCGGCAAGTCTTTGTTTGTAGGAGAGAGGGGCAAGGGGTATAGAAATGAAAAAAAATTGCTCGTACCGACAATTTTCTGGCAATCCGTTTTGTGTTTTTCGTATTTGTTGACATTTTATATATATTTAAATGTGAAAAAACAACAAATAAAAAAATATTTTGGAAACCGAATTGCCTTGTGTAGACGCATGGAGCAAGTTCAAAAGAGAACGATAAAAATTGCCGCAAATAAACTCGCCTAATATAAATCAAGACTTATTAAATATCCACACACATAACGTTATACCAAAGGCATTGCCAACATAACACGACAGACAGTTCCATATGTCATTGAAATCGCACAACACAAGAAGGAAAAAAAGAGAATCTCAAATAATGAAGAAAAAAATAATTATCGACGAAAGTCGATCTGTAGAACCCTTGCACACTTCATCATTTATTGGCTGAATCGTATTGCTAGCATTTAAACGAAATCAAAGTTCGGGAGAAGAAGCGTAAAATTCAGTTCAAGTGACGGGAAGAGTTTTGCGATAAGAAAAATAAAAAAATATAGAAACAATTAACAAATGTTTTAAGAAAAATACTTAAGGTATATTTAAACCCAAACGTGCGAAAAAAACGAAATATATTTCTCATTAAAATTCCACAAATGAATACAAACCACAATTGAAAAAAAATATTAGCGTGTGTGTGCGTAACAAAAATATAAAAATTAATAAAATATTTGTCAATTTAGCAATAACGAAACGAGAAATAAACGAGATAAATATCAATGTGTAGGAAAATAATATGATTTTAATACTTGTTGCTGCATGTAGGAGATTATCTACATTTTGTGTGCCCTTCTGGTGTTTTTTATAGCAGCTATTTCGTGTGTTTGTGTGCGTGTCTCCCTCAAGTAGAAAAAGAAGAGTGAAATGGAAAATAACAAGTGTTATTTTGTTGTATTTACGCAATTTGTTGTTGTGGAATAATAAAGAGCTGGCATGCGTAAAGAAAAGAAGAATATTATTTTATATATATTTTCCAATATAAGAAAAATTAGTTCTATTATTATTTTTCTATAATTCGCTTTAGTTTTTTGTGATTTTAATACTATAAAAAACCAACACTGCATTAACATAAATCATTCTTCATAGCTCTCACAGGCAGAGATCAAGATCTCACTCTCACCAGCACTTTATTCTTCCACTAGCTGTCAAATTGAGCTGTTGCGTTATTAATTGCAAATATTTTTTTTAAAACAACAGGAAAATAAAAATAAAATAATTTACATATTAGTCAAATCAATAAACAATTAACACTTAAAGAAACAAAGAATTAAAAAAAAAGAAAAGAAACTGCAACAAAATGTGGCAACCAACACCGTCAACACCATCATCAGCAGCCCCATCGTCAACAAATGATAATAAAAATAATACCGATGATTGCAAATGCAGTGGCGACGATAGTCAAGCAACATCGTTAGAACACAACAAACCAACATTTGGAGCCGTCGATAACAACAAGAAAGTACTAGAATCCACAACGGAGGAAGCAACAGATTCTGGTTTCATATCGGGACCACAAACAACATCGACATCATCCATCCGCATCAGCAGCAGCAGTGAAGTTGTAGAAGGTGCCATTGGTGGTGGTGGTTCTGAACAGAAAGTGCAACAATACGAAACAGATTCGGGTTATATTAACGAAGAAATATCTTCTGGTCATATTGCATCTGCCACGACAAGCGACCAAATGTTACTCAAACACAATGTTGAAACTGGCATGTCAGAGCGTTTGGGCAAGCTTAGCTTACAGGGCAATTCCAATTTAAATAATTTGGATGCACCCAAAGGATTTACACAGCTGCAGCCCCAACAGCAACAAAAAGCAAACATTACACCATCCTCAGTCTCAGTACCATCTACTTCCCAACAACAACAACATGCAGCTGGATCCTCAACACCCCAACAACAACAACAACAGAATACAACAAATATACCAGCCCATATAACACCGGCCAATGCATGGGAATATTATTATCAACAAAATGATGAAGGAGATACGTAAGTGCAAATGAAAATATATTTATAAAAACTACTTATTTCGGATCAGGGGAAACTTAGAAGGTCTTCACAAACTATGTGATTACATAGATATTGTCAAGTTGATTAGGAAGTCTTGGAAAACATTATTTGCTATTAGATGCAATGTCATTCAAATTAAAAGGCGATATTGTCCAGGTATTTTATTTAATTAAACCGTGATAGATACGATTTCAGATAGACCTGTAATATAATTTAAAAAACGCTTGATTCTATTACCCATAAATCGACATTTATTTACATGTAATACATTTTATTCCATGTACTAACGTAAATTTGAATAGTATACTCTGAAGGGTGATAGTACTGTTCTCCTAAACCAAATTTCGAAAAGTCATAAAAATACTTTAGAGATGTTTTAATTTTGTCACCAATGATTGTATATCAAACACCTGCTATTTTCCTCTGTTAATGCCAGGCATGTATTATTAGTTTATACTTTTAAAATATATATATATTTTCACTTAATCTTACTACCTGATTAATGTTACAATCCTCAGATTAGTTTTGCACTAAAATACACTAAATCTTATGACTTACTACCTGCTGCTAATTTTAAATTAGTATCTGTAACATAAAAACCTGTTGCCGAAATGTGCCTTAATCCTTAGGAATTCCCTAAAGGAAATGTAAACAATTGAACAGGTCTTTAGGCACGTATTTCCAGATAATATAACAATAGGTGAAACAATAAGGGGGCAAAATAACCACAACATGCAAAACAATAGGACAGGATGTTATTCTAAATGTGCACATTGCATGTGCATGATGAGACGACAGGTGTTTGGTGTGTGTTGTCCCTAAAAAGGGCAGATGTTTTAACTTAATGATACATACACTTTAAGACGTGATTATTCTTGTTTTATCTATATGATTTATTTATTTATCCCTTTTTTTCAGGCCTTTACATTTGGCATGCATTTCGGGTATGGTCGATGTGGTGGCGGCTTTAATACGCATGGCACCTCATCCCTGTCTATTCAATATACAAAATGATCAAGCCCAGACACCTTTACATTTGGCCACATTAATAGCACATCCCAAAATCATCAGAATGCTTTTAATAGCGGGAGCAGAGGTAAGAAATAAAATAAGTTAAACAAAGTTTTTTTTTTATAAAATTATGTATTCCTTGAATTAAAAAAAAAAAAAAATATTTGATAAGGATTTTCAGTATTTAGATTTAGCAAATTTTATAAAATACTTGAAAACTAGACCCGGAGGTAATGAGTTTCTCTTATCAGTAAAGAATAATGGTATTTCCCAAAATTAAAATTTATTGCTAATTTGAAATTACTGGGAATTGTTTTATATTATAAAGAAACTTCATGCTGAATAAATAAAATATAAATACAGATTAATTAAAATTTGAGGGATTTTTGAAAAAAATCTTTGTTAAAAATGGCTAGTTTCAAAATCTAAGGAATTGATTTTGAGCATACAATGTTAGGTCAAAATTTTAACCATAAAACATTCCCATAACTACGAGGAAAATTGCAAAGTCTGGAAGTCGTATTTTAGAATTCTGTAAATTACAAAGTCTTATTAAAGAATAAACGATTTATATTATTACTTCATAAAGTATTTCTTAAAGTTATTATCTGCCGTCGTATTTTAGAATTCTGTAAATTATATATGTATAAAAATAAACGATTTTTATTATTTCTTCATAAAATATTTATTAAAGACAGCAAAGTTATGTTTACGCTATATAGCACAGTTATTTTTCTTTAATATACTATAATTTATTTTTTAATGCTATGCTATTTTTACATTATTAACATAACTTCTTCTTGTTACCATTGAACATTTTTTATGTTTGTTATTCTTTTTCTATATGTTTTTCTTTATTTCTACTTCATTTTTGTTTTACAGCCAACCATACGTGATCGTCATGGTAATACAGCTTTACATTTGGCCTGTATGTCTGGCGAAGAACAATGTGTACGAGCTTTGACCATGTCAATTGGTGCCTCTGAAGTTAATGAAGCCCACAGACAATACGGTCACCGTGCCAATGACAAATCCTATCTCAAATGTGCCCATTTACCTTCAGACTTGGAAATACGTAATTATGATGGTAAGTGGAAATTCAAATAAAATCGACTATGTTATTTTTTTTCAAATACCGAAAACAATGAGTGTCAAAGTTATCATTTAGAATGGCATCTGTGTGTATTCCCAATATAATACATATTTTTATTATATTATATGCAGACGTCCCGACCCATTATATTGTTTTTTTGTCATATGTCTTTTTTGGCTAGCCATAGTCATAGACATTTTTTTTGTATTTTTGAAAATCAGAAAAAGAAAATAAAAAATGTATTCAGATATTATTTTGCCAAGTTAAAAATAGCTTTTCTATATTATCAGCCAACCAAGTTTCGCCATAGAATTTTCCGCTTATTCGTCTGCCACATTTTCTTGGTAAAATGTCTGCGGGTTTTCTTTTTTGTTTGGATGTATATTTTTGTGCCAATACTTATATTTTTGTTATAGTATATGTGAATATTTTATTTAAATACATTTGTTTAATAGAGTTCATTTCTTTTGTGTGTTTGTAAAGGCCATAATACTTTGGCATTACGATTGTTTTATTTAGAATAAATATTTTTCTTTGACGTCATTCGACTTTTAAACAGTTAATTGTATTTGTGTTTATATTATTATTTTGGCACATGATTGTTGTATTGCATCAAATGTAATGATGAGAGCAACAGCACAGTTTCCTTGATCAGGTCATCAAGGAATAAAATGTGTTTAAAATTATTTTTTTGTGTATCATTGGTTTCCAAATTCATATTATTTAAATAAAGAAAGCAAGCTTATCTTAATTGAAAAGGAGTTAAATAAAAATGTTCACTATTATTTAGTTAAGATTGCACCTTTTTGTTTAATATAATATATTAAAGCTCAGCTTATACATTTTTAAAGCTATATGTATTTTTGTTTTTTTTTTTTAATACTTTTGGATTATTTATTTATTTATTTTTTATTTTATTGCCACGAAAAAGGCATCTGGCCAATAAATATCGCAACATGCCAAAACTACAAAAGTGTACTTCACATTATAAAACGTATCTTATAGCTATACAGTATATATCTTAATATAAATTATGAATTCTAAGTAACAAACTTTAAAGCATATTTAAATTCATTTTAAAACTAAACAGTTCATATACTAACATAATATATGGATTTTAATTAACAAACTACAAAGCAGAAAAGGCTCCCCAGCCATGTAAAAATAAAGCAGTAAAGACTATTGTTGGTAATATCTAAGCAAAAGAACTGAATAAAGTCGCATCTACCAAACAAATTAAAAAATACATTAGTCCAGCATGTAATTAACAGCAAAATCTTCAAACTTGCGTTGAAATACACTGCGCGAAAAAGAAAAATGTCGTAGTTCAACAGGAAGTTGATTCCACAAACGTGACGAACGAATAATAAAAGATCTTTCATATAAACAAGTGGAATAGCGCGGGAAAATTTGAGTGTTCCTGGTAGATCTAGAGAAAACAAGTCGATCACGCAGGACACCGGGAAGATCTAAAGTGACAGATTTATATAGAAATGAAATAACTCTTTTCTTTACGAAAACAGAAAACGATACTCCTAGAAAATTAATTTGGTGATTGTTTTATTAGCATATGTCTTCTGATTTTGTTGTATTTAAAAATGTTTTTTATCTTTCACAACCAGTTTAAGAAAAATCTTCCCCAATCCTAAAAAATTGAGAGAAAAATGTACATAATGGTGGAATGTATAAAAATTCTCTGTCCTTACCAAACCTAGTGCATTGTAAAATTGACTATTTTATAGACTATTTTTTATAATAGGTTCTCTTTGGCTATGTCTTTGAATATAGACTTGAAATTTTATTTTTTGGGCATGATTGGTATAATAAACCTTTCCCAAAGACCCCATAACGATTGTGTCTGACAATGACACTCCACCTGTGCCGCCTCCTCATCCCACATATACATCTGCCCACAATTTTCATTTCGTTGATTTGTATTTTTATTTTGTCGTTACTATACAGTCCAGTCGTCATTGCCTTCACTTTGGTGTTGCTATTTTCGTGTTGCCTCCTCTTCATCACAGTGTGCAGTAGTAAAATGTTCAGCCGTTTTTCTGCCATTTGCTGCTAAATATAAAAATATTTTGGGTTTTTCCCAAAAGCAAATTGACTACATACAAACATACATAGCACAATTTCTCATATACATACATACAAACAATTATATGGATGGTACACAGCCAGTCTTTGGCGTTTTGTGGTGTAGCACCAACAAAGTAAAGGAGAAGAAGAGCGGCGAACGAATGGCGGACAAGTCAATTCAACAACGATTCATTGTGTTGATATGTATGCATGATTGTCTGACGTTTATGTCGTCGATATGTATGAACGTAGTATGTATGTCTGTACATTTGTTTATATTTCCATATGCATAAATATTCCAAAGGCACTAACAGAAGCGTCATACAAAATAACTTAAAAAAACGAGCAACTCTTTTTTGTCAAAATCTTCACAGGAAAATAAAAAAATGGATCTTATAATGCCATACTTTTTAAAATAAAATTTTAATGTAATAAATATTATGAGCTCTTTATTGTTGGGAAACTTGATGTATGTTCTTCAATTTTACATCTAATGAATGATCACTGTTTCCACCCACGTCACAACCCACAATCTAGATGTAAATCAAGTATATTTTTTCCAATCATTTAAACTGACATCTATATCAGTGATAATACAGCCTAACAACCAGCCATTTCGAGTTCAGTTCTTCTTCCAATTTTCACCAAACACCCATATAACACTCATAACATTTTGTCAAAATCATTATATCTTATCAGTATTTTTTTTGTTAATATAAACTCAAATGAATATTGTTTATAGTAATGACCCTCTAGGGGTTTTCCTAATATTTATTGTGCTAATAGCAGTTGCTTATTTCAACTAGTACTAGCAAAATGAAGTTTGATAACACAATTTTGCCAATAACATTAATGATGTGGTTGGTGAACGACTTGTTGGCTAGCCCACAATCTAGTCTATATTACCAAGGGTTCTTCAATCAATGTTTTTCCACTTTTAATTAAATTTTCTTATCATTCGTAGTTGTATTAATTGTTATTAACATGGGTTTCCCCCAAAGACAAAAAACCGCTAACGTTATTGTTCCGCACTTTCAATAACAATATTTATACTGAATGATAAGAAGAAAAAACAAATTAGTCCATGTTGAATAAGGTGGAATTTTGAAGCCATATATATATATTAACATTGGGTGACAATGAAACAAAAAGTTGGAATACTTTAATTTGAAATTATATATAATCTGAATATAATAGATTTTCATTTTAATTTAAATTCCTTCGTATACAAGCAGACTGTACTACAATTTTTTTTCTTTCTTTCATTTGGCCAGTATGATGTAATATTCTATAATACATTTTTTTGGTCTACAATTTTAGCATTAGACGTACTATTTCTCCTAAATGTTGTGTGTGTATATATATATTTTTTTTGGCAGTATTTGAACATTTCTAAAATTATCTCAAGCAAAATGTATTCGTTTGATTGTTTATGTATACAAATAAAAGTCAAAAATTGGGTAATAGAAATGGAAATGTTTTTTTGTTTACTTCGAAGTACGTGAAAAATCTCAATGGTTTTAAACAACTATGTTGTCAGGTTATTATAGCTTTGTCCAGCCCCAAGAGTTTCTAACGCCGCGAAATATTGATCCTAGACCCACCTTTATGTATAACGATCGTCATATCTCGACTAGCTGAGTCGATCTAGACATGTGTGTTCGTCCGTCTGTTTGTCCATTATAATTTGTAAACACGATTCAGAGCACAGTTATGGACCAATCACGAAATTTTGCATGTAGGATGGGTTGTAGGTTAATATTTAGGGCGGTTAATTTACCACACTGGAGGGCGAAAATAAAGCGCTGATCGCTTTGAAATTTTCCATGAGGATCCAAGTATGGTTAAGGACAACAAAAACCGAAAAACCGACCGAAAACATAATTTTTTGCGTTTTGTTCGAATCACAACCCACGGTGAAGGGAGTATGGACAAGTAATTAGAAGGACTGCACTGAATATTAGTAATGTTCAGAAAATATGTCAGTGTAAGAAAGAAGTGCTGCTGACCTCTAATCGGGTAAGAGGGTGCAATTATCACGAAATATTGCCTAAGCTCAGAATATAGAACCACATAAAGTTAGATTTTCGTGGAAGTTGTGTATGGTATCATATCGGGTCGGCCCCGTCCGGCTATAATGCCCCGCTAACTGCTTTTAAATTGTTTTTAAGTTCTTAAAATTCTGTAGTTGGTTATTATTTTATTTTTTTAATATTATCATTATTTGATAAATACCCCATATACCTCCAAATTTCCCACGATTCGTCTTTCATTTTATAATAGGCCTAACCAATATTTTCATCCAATTTAGATTTTTTATAAAAACCTCGAAATTTTAAATTTCAAACATTTTTTATATATTTTACAGTTTTAATGTTTATATTAAGAATGCAAAATAAATTGCCATATTTAGCTATGAGTTGCTGAGTTTTTTTATTTTTGGAGCTATCATTACAAATGTGGAATTTTACTGTGTAATAGTTTGCAATGTACAACACGAGTATTATCTTACGCTTCACTTTTTCCCCCTCGAGAACATTTGTGTGTCATTGCATGACTGACTGACTGATGTTGACGTAAAAAATCTTACGATGTTATTAGTCAATTAACGGATTTCCCTGCAACAATAACAAAAGATTAAAAAACTTCTGAAAACTTAAAACAAACAAACAAATTAAAAACAACAAGTGTTTTTTTTTTTTTTTGAATAATAAAAAAATTGTAAACAACAAATGTTTCAACAGTGGGAATAGTGTATGCCATTAAGAGAAAAGAATATTGATGAATTAATTTCAAAATTTATTGAAATTATCTTTTTTTATAATATATTTCATTGGTATAACAAAATTTTCTACGTCTTTTTTATTTATTTTTAATTTTAGAATCGAAATAAAGTTCGATTTTTTTCTTTT